TTACATTTGGATCATGGGACAACTTTTAGGGTAAAATTTGAGGTTTTTACTCACCAGCCTCGCGTCTCCTATCCGACAAATGCACGATTATGTTCAAGTGTGTGTTTACATACGTTGCATGTGCGCTGATCTTCGCGTACCCTCAGCAGGTCAACTCTACATTCTGCTCGACCATTTGGGATGGAGGGGGATTGCATGCTTTGCATCGCGCAACAGTGCATTATGTACGTCATTTTGGCGTGCTGAATACGCTGTGTGGTATCGTTACAGGTTGTCAGTTTTGATGGACTGTTTTTACATTTGACAAAAAAAGGGATGAAAAGATCCATCAGTAAACAGTAAACGGCGCATAATTCTGCACGACGTCTGCGTCCAAAATGTGCTCTAGTCCAAAATGTTTTACCTAGTTTCAGATTTTTCCTAGTTCCGGATAACTTCAAATAAAAACCTACCTCTTTTGGATTAGTCTCCAATCATTTTTTTTTCTGACGAAGTGCACTTTGAAAAGAAAAATGTAAGCTTCTTGATACACAAAAATCTTTTAGATTTAGAATATTTTGTTCATACACTACAGTCGTATAAACTCTTCCATCGAATGCTTGTTGAATCAAAATAAGTTGTAGAGTCTCTTATTTTTGAAAATTCACCAACAAATGACCGTATGCTTTTGCCTAGTTCCGGATAGCGCATGCACTTACAACCCAACTACACGTGCGTTAATCGATTTTGTGTGACGTATTCTGTGCTCAGTGCTGGGTCAAATATTTTTGGTCCGTGCGCGAGTTCAAGCCGTTGCGCTGCAGACAGTTTCAAAATCATTCACATTTTTTCTCTATTTAAAATTTGCTGGAATTCTCTTTAATGAACTTTTTTTGGAAAATGAAATAATACTTTATCAAAAAATATGCTTGATTCGATTGGTTCTGGCTGAACAAAATTGATTTTCTTGCATGATTTTTTTTTTTTCGCGCAAACAGTTTTTGATCACTTTGGAACTGATTGAACCGATCCAGAACTAGGAAAAGTGACATCAGTACTTTTGACGTCGTAAAATCAAAATAAAAAGAGCTTAAATTTTGAAAATTATTTTGTGGTACCTGCATCACTCAAGGTACCAATGTCACTTGAATTCCTGGATTAGTTGAGCCGAAAGCAGCCTGAATGATGTTTGCTATCCAGAACTAGGAAAATGGTAATCCTTACCTTTTGGACCCCATTGGGGTTCTACTAAAATGCGTCAACAAGCGTCAACAAGCATCAACGGTCGTCAACAAGCATCAACAAATTATATATGCTTTTGAACATTAAAAAAATCTTCTGCATATCAACTAAAGTTTAACTTAGTTAAAAAGTTGTTTTCCAGCGCGAAACCTATGACGAGTTTGTCGGTTTAGTATTGGCGCCATCTTGTTTGGATGACACTGTACACTTCGCGAAATTTCCTGATTCGTTTGCGTATCAAAATTTCAACATGAAATTTCACGAAATATAGACATCTGAAAATGGCAGCACTTTCTGATTAGCCTATAAAGAGGGTGAGTATGCTTCTATAAGGCAAAAATAAATTACAAACTAAGCCTAAATGTGAAAATCAAAATTTGACAAAGTTCGACACGGTTTTGTACATGGTGGAAGTGTGGCCTTTATTTACGGAGGTAGGATGGGTTGCCCTATTATCGTGGTACTTATCACGTTTCTCGTTTGGAAGAGAGATTGCCCATTGACCTTCCTGAATTGTCCTGTCTCTTAGGTTGTATAACTCTTCCTTTTTAAATTAATATAAAAAAAATCCGACGGTGGTATGGTTTATTCCGTGTACGATGCCTGTGAAAATAGACATGTGCGGAGTGTGTGAACGTAGGTGGACTCCCTATTATCGCAGTATGCGGGAAGTGGTGTTTATAATGATCCCAACTTTTTTATTCATATTAATGTTTGACCAAAACATCCTCTGAATAAAGTCTGATATTTTCCCTGTAATGTTCAAGTTGATTAAAGACTATAATATTTCTACAGGATGATTTCTTAAGACCCTGCCCTTCCCCTGAAAGGAGAACGCAAATCCCTGAGGCAAGTCTACTGATCAGCATTTGAGGGCGCCATTCACTTTACACTGTGTGCCGTTTTATTTTCGCTAACGCGCGGTGCTTATTTTAATCCCGTAAAAGTTGTTACGATTGCGCACTGCAAATATCGTCGTTCGACTTCATTTTACATTTGCAGCTGAAGAATGGGAACCAGACAATGGAACTTTCATGGACAGAGCACAATTAAAGATTAATGTTAAATATAAACGGTACCTTTTAGCAGACACGGTGAGGGAAAATTTTGCAAGTTTTGGAAAAAGTTAATATTTAGGTAGTGGATATTTTGCCGGAGGTAACGCCGGCAAACTAACGTTTACTAAAGGTTTGCCGGCGGCAATCCATATCAACAGAGGGCGCTGTACTCTTTAAGATATGGCTGAATTATAACATGTATTAAATTCCCACCGAAGTTGTGTAGCACAGTCGGTGCAGTGGTTAAGCAACAGCTCTAGTGAGTGGGATGTCCCGAGTTCGAATCCTGATCCTCGTCACCATTTTAAGGTGTTTTTTTCCCATCCTCAAATAAATAAGAATATTCTTCTTTTATTATTTTAATATGTCTCAAACATTTTATTGCAGAGTATTACTTTTTCTTTTTCAGAATTGTGGCTCTGGAGGATTTTTTTTAAAGGGAAATAAAGTCCGACATTATAAAATGGTCTGATCATGCTGATTCCCATCTTGTAAATACAATAAACTACAACGATTATATTGGCATGGAGCCAGACTAAAATTTGTCACCGGAAAATGTTTAAGTACAAAAAAACAGTAACTGCGCATGTTTAGTGCTAGACCCGTGAACGTGGCTTGTAAACTACGCCACGCTGTTGTCTATTTTGGAACCTGGCGAACGTGTCCCTCTGACTCCCTCCGTTACACACACTGGACGTTATTTTGCCCATGTAATAAGTACTCACATATGAAGCTGTCTTGAATTCTATTTGTACGTCAAAACTTGCATTTGACGAAAATTGAGGAAAATTCTGGCCCCGGTTCATGAAGTCCGTCCGCTACTGCTAGCTGCCATTTTCTCCCAACTGACGCATGCGCATTGCGTTTTATTTTCGTATGAGTCGACGGCTGTTTACTGTCACAGCTAAAACAGATATCGTTTTAGACAAGTTTCAAGTCCTTTCCTCTCTCACCGCACCGCACGCGGTCGCACGTGCGCCCGCGTGTGTGTGCACACACGTACTGTACATACACGAGATGAGCCGAGCAGCCAATCGTCTGCGGGGTGTTTTTTTTCGGGGTTGCGACATGAAACAGCCGTCAATCTGTCCAAGCGACTCAGACGCGTCCGGGGTTATTTGTCAGGGTCAGGTTAAAATCTAGCCCGACTGCGTCTGGCCGTACAGTACTATCGCAAGCTCTGTAGTACGGCCAGACGCTGAATGCTTCCAAAAAGACTGAATTTTTTTGGCCGCTGATGTAGCGATTTTGCTACATCTTTTGATCGAGATTATCTTTTCATCCAGGACAAAAATTTCCACAGTTAAGATTCTTAGTCGTAGAGCAACTCATACCTTTTCGAAAAAACGTTCTTTGGTCTCAATATTTTCATCCATCTGGCCAAAAGACGACTTTCAGTCATCATCTTCCACAAATATCGTCCCGAAAATGCTCCCCCATGCGATTTCAAAATGGCGGCCGCGCTGTAACTCATGAATATGCATAAATAGTCTGTGACGTATGACCTCGTGTTTTTGAACGTACGTGCGGCGGGGCCGTACGTACGTACGCGGACGTACGTGTGCATGCACGTACTGGGCTGTTGTCTACAAGTAATGTACATGTACGTACATGTACGTACGGCGCCGCCGCACGCACGTCCAAAAACACGAGGTTATACGTCACAGACTGTTTATGCATATTCATGAGTTACAGCGCGGCCGCCATTTTGAAATCGCATGGGGGAGCATTTTCGGGACGATATTTGTGGAAGATGATGACCGAAAGTCGTCTTTTGGCCAGATGGATGAAAATATTGAGACCAAAGAACGTTTTTTCGAAAAGGTATGAGTTGCTCTACGACTAAGAACCTTAACTGTGGAAATTTTTGTCCTGGATGAAAAGATAATCTCGATCAAAAGATGTAGCAAAATCGCTACATCAGCGGCCAAAAAAATTCAGTCTTTTTGGAAGCATTCAGCGTCTGGCCGTACTACAGAGCTTGCGATAGTACTGTACGGCCAGACGCAGTCGGGCTAGTTAAAATCTAATTTCTACACGTTCGTATGGGTCTTTACTGATGGGCAAATTATGTCGAAATTACACAGCCTAAACAATCGGACGGGCAAATTTAGATTTCTAGGTGAGTACTCAACACCCATACGGAATTATGTATGTCGGATCGATTTCGCCAGGTTTGAAATGAAACAAGAACGTGGCGTTGTATACAACGCCACGTTCACGGGTCTAGTTTAGTGCATATCCGGCAAACTAACGTTTACTGAAGGTTTGCCGTCTCCGGCAAAATATCCACTGCCTAATATTTATTAAAATCGTTAAAAGTCCCGAAAGACACAACATTTTTTAATCGTCCTTTTTATACAACTCAGTAGAACTAGAAAATCCTTGATGACTGGTGAACTGGATAAAAATCGCCACTTTGAGGAGTTTTGGCAATGCAAAAAGAGCAATTTCCCATGCCGCGATAATTAATAGGGATGCCGCGATAATAGGGAGTCCGACTATACTCGGGTAGTCCAGTAATTGGCATGGGGCTACATATGTAGGTAAATGATGGTTGAGCTGTTCCCCGTCAGTGTGTGACCAAAATCCGCACCGTACGGCTTGAAAAACGTGACCAAACCTTGACACATGAGACCCGGGAAAGCTTTGGGGGAGGCGAGGGACAATTGGGAAGGGGAAGAACAACTGATAGCTGCATTACTGGCTAATCATAAATACCTTAAGATCCTCAATGGTAACTATTTCCTCCACGATCGCCTCCATCTTGGATCAGCTACGCATCAGCTCAGGGTGACCGTAAGAGGTTATGGCCAAATTCTGCTAAATGCACTTCACAAATCTGTCAGATTTATCAAAAATCTACCAAATTCCCCAGAATTACTCGAAATACACTATAGATACTTAAAATTACATGCAGATTAATAAAGCTTCAAATTACATTATAAACAATCTATAGTCGCATAAAGATGTTATGAAATTATTCCATAAATTTCAGGCAAAACGCCGGAATGAGTCACGACGAAGTCCTAGACCAGCAACCTGTCCCATTATATATGCCATTATGCTCGGGACAACAGCTAATCCGGTGAGCCATTATGAAAAGAAGCTTTTTTTTTTCAATGTAAATTTTTTTTCACATTTGCTATGTTTTTCTGTCAAATAAAAGACAAATATCCATTTTTAAAGAACTCTGCAAGAAATTCTGCCAAGAAAATCCATTCTGTCAAATTTTCTGTCAAACTCGTTTTTAACAAAATCTGTCAAAGTTAGGAGAAAATCGGCTAAAACGGTCACCCTACCTTTCATAGTCCATTCTTCTTACGTATTTAATACTGTCACCACTATCAGTCTAACACATTTTATCGAAAGGTAAGTTCACAATTGTTTACTAATTCTTAATGAGGATCCATTAACCTAGTTATAAATTTGCCAGCAGGAACAGAAAGCAAAAAATTATTCAAACAAAACATTCTTTGATAATTTATGTTGTATTTAGGACTAAAAACATCAGACGTTCATATCTTTTATTTGTGGAAAAGTTGGGAACATTTGATTTTAAATATGTCACCCCTTTTGCAAAATGAAACAGTCGCACAAGCAGCTGGCGTATCACACTCATTCATAAAAACGATCTCAACACGTGACGATCTGTTACGATGACCAGGCATTTCCTAGTACTCTACTAACCCCTATCACGCTTATTTCGAGGTTATCAGTGCCAATTGCAGTCATATGGGCGGTGGAATGAGGGTTTCAAAATTTCATGACACATTTGCGTAATTACTGCAACTTCCAAAAAAAATATTACGGTCCAATGAGCTCATACAAAACGCGTGATTAAAACGATCAACTGTGAACGGGCCTGTGAACCACGATGAAATTACTTCTTGTTTCTGTTTATACTAGTTTCGTGATGACTAATGAGGAATTATACACGTTGGTACGCAAACAATGCGTGGGCCCGCCAGCAGGCGTGAGTTTTAAACAAGCAGTTTAGTCTTTACAAATATGAGGACGGGTGGGGCCAAAATTAGAAGTTATTTTTGTCGTCTTGTTTGTTACCAGGAGAATCTGGCCGGTGCATGCTTAAAGTGCATGTCGCCAATGCAGGCCGCGCGCCGATCGGAATATATTATATCACGCTGACGACGGACGTAAGGCCTAAGGGTCCCGCCTGCCATGACTTTTCACAGCAGACCCAGTTGAAGCATGGAGGAATAAAATGGATGAAGGTAAGACTGTCTTCATTATTCGAGAACGGCGAACTCGTCGATCGCGTACCTCGCTGCTAGATATAGATAGATGCCAATATTGAATACTGTTGGACGAACCGGAACTCTCCACTCAATTAACAAATTATGAATTAGATGTAGCTAAATTATGCAATGAATTATTAAATCATATTTGCATCATGAACCAATAAGGTTTTGCTTCAGTTTAACTGAAGATGAAGTTAGTTTCAAATTAAAGTTCCATTAGTTAGTGGCTTTAACGAGAAAATGGAGAAATAAATTCACCTTTTTGATTTGTCTGTATTGTAGTGTAACATTAAAAACATACACAACAGCAATCTTTTCTTTATTACGCCTAATGCATTAGGCAGTATAACTTCACATGTAAATACTTTCTTGAAACCAAATACAATATTAATTAATTTAAACTCAGTATGAACACCAATCCTGTTCCCGAGATGTGGTTTTGTTTTGTTTTCTTTACATCCCGATGCGAAAACGTTAACAACATAATTAACCAGAGTACGGACAGATCGAAGGACGATAGACGAAAGAAAATTGGTATACGCCGACAAATAAATCAGGCCGACTTAAACATCACGTGCCGGCACGCGGTGGCGCTGGCGCGGGCCGGCCGGTGCTAGCGCAAGCCGGCACGGGTCTTATTGATACAACGAAAAGTTAAATAATTAATGATGCAATGCATGTATCCAACTATACTGAATCATGGTCACCTGAATGGCTTTCTAGTCATGATCCTCGTGATTGTAGGGTGGGTAAGCTTGCGTCACTTAAAAGTAGGCCTACGTATAGTTCGAAAGACGGAACTTCAGTTGTGGTAACTGTTTGTACAATTCAGAAATATTTGTCCAAACTTTGTGAGTACTTACCACCAATGATTTACCATCAATTTGATACCTATTTTTGAAAAGTGGCTGTAAGTTAAATTCTGCCCTTTTTCAATCCGAGAAATGTTGGCTTACACATGTATTGCATTGGACACCCTCCGAGATGATAAAAACAAGTGCGACTGCACAGCCGTCTTGCATGAAATGATACAAATACTCATTTTGGTCGTGATTGTCAATTGAAATAAGGATTTCCCATTTCGTCACAATGCAAAATAATACTGACCTTCATAATGCAACTGTATCCTCACTCCTATGCCCAGGAGATTCATAAAACTGACACAGGGCAAGAGGCAGGGGTGATGTATAGTCAGGTGTGTAGAAACCCCCTAACTATAAGTTCGTAGCACACAAAAAAAACCACTTGACTATCACATTACCACACATTTTCTTGCCCCTTTTTAAAAAAAATCATAAACAATGTCACGAATTGTTGCAATTTGGTACTTAGTTTAATGTGTGAGTTAGGAGGTTCGTTTTTGGTCAATTTTTGGGGGGACCGACCGACACCCGAGTGACTTGTTGAAGCTCTGTTGCAAGAGCTTAAAAACCTCTTGACTTAAAAACAAAATATTCATGCAGTAGTTTCTGAATTTTTGGTCATGATATGCCATTAACTTTAGGCGAACAGACTGTATGATTTTAATTAAAAGTTTTGAAGAAATTTAAGGTTAAATATTTTAATGTCGTCTGAACGTCTTACGAAAGAGCTCTATATTTCTTACATAAAAGTGTTTAAAAACTTGTTCTTTTTGTATATATATGGTTAACAAGTAGAATTTAGGAAATAATGGAGATGGAAAAGCATGCCTTATGGACCGCACTCGGGGGCGTATGGGTCCCGGGGCTTTGTAAGCAATGAGTCGACAATTTGTGTGTATTACTCAGCATCAGCGCTCTACGGGGAAGAAACCGGGCATGTGGTAGTACTAGTAATTGTCGTCCGCAACCTTTTTCTTCCGAGCCGGCTTGGCAGAAAGAAAAAAAAACAGTCGCTACAAATCCAATTTACTTAAATCAAGATATCAAAATGTCTTTCTTTCATTTTAAAACTTCGAGTCATGAGTGAATTACGCCCGGACGGGTGATGTTGGGCGAAAAAAATAGACCAAACAAAAACACGGTATATGGTATTTGATGATTGTGAGTATACAGTGTTTATACGTCGGTCACAGAAGGGCAAAACCTTATTTGATGTTCGATCATAACATTTGGGGGGGGGGGGGGAAATAAAATGAGAATCCCGAATCGACATAACATAACCCCTATATTCCGGATACGATGCATGTTTAAGTCAGGAGTCGCCCAAAACATCAAAAGATGAACGAATCCCGACGGTCACCAGTCACGAGCAAGGTCATGAGACATAGCGGCCGGCCGGCCCAAGCCTCAGAATGCCAAGGGATCTGGATCTAAACTTATTAAACGATACGCACCCCTCTTGTGTACTGGTACTTTTTGTTATGCCGGCGACATTCTAATACCTAGGAAATGACAGTTCCGCATTCCCAGCATACATTTATTATGCGAATACAATGGTTCCGATGACGTAAATGTATTCATCGTGCTCGGCAAAATATGCAAACTATTATCGCACTCTGACAGGGCGAACCGCGATGACTTCACAATGCATTGGGGGGTTGGGGGGTTGGAGTGGGGTGAACTCTCCTATAAAGGAGCAATTTAGTGCGGCAATGCGGTCCCCCCCCCCAAAAAAAAACCCAAAACAACTAAATCTAATGTATTTTGCTGCACCGTTTAAATCTTTTCTAAAATGTGCAAAATGTATTGTTGTAGTATTTAATACTTTTCAAAACTCTTTATTATTATGAAAAACCACCGTTTGGGAAAAAAAAGGAGAACCTCGAAAATACTCTGTATACATGTATCATTAAGAAATATTATGCTCACCTAAAATGTATAAAATACGCTCAATCCATCTTGTTTCAAAAATCGTCCTTTATAGATACGGGATACTCATTTTGTTCAATGAATCCTTGCGAAAACAAAGAACACCTCAGTTTTTTGACCGTTTCTTTCATGATAAAATGCCATGGGGGAAAATCATTATTAACAATGAAGACGAAAAATACAAAGAAAGAAAGACATTCGAAAATATTTCTTTCGCGAAGGTTTAATGTGAATCAAACTTACGTTTCAAATGTGGGGCCGGGGGCGAGCGTTTGAAAACGAGAAAAGAATCTGCAAAATAATGAGCGAATGCCCTTACAAGTCGGATTTTTTTTCAAAGAGTATGGTCGAAAATGCCATCATCGTCATGGCAACGACAAAACCCAAAACATCGATACCTTTAAATAAAAAGCCGCCCAATTAAGGACCTCGCTAGTTGGACAGAACCATTGAAAAGTCAGGCGTGTTAAAAATAGCCGCGGTAAAAAAAAAAAAAAGGTACCAGAAATGAGAAATAGCCTACGCACACACTGCTCTGAACTATATCCTCGATATCAATTATCATTTGGGGTTTGCCACTCGACGCGTACGTACGTATGTACGTATCTCACACGTAACCAGAAGACTGCACAGTGCTAGCGCCCTTGGTTGCAATGCTAGTTGTCAAAGCAAACAGCCGCCTACTCAGCTCAGTTGTGCAGATTTTCATCGTTTGCCATTGCGACAACCTGCGCATATCGGGTTCACACTGGCTACTCGCTATTCATGCTGGAGTTCATTCATAAAAAGTTTCAGCTATGCAGAGCCTGGGCAGGTTATATATATATACTGGGGTTCATTGCCTGGGCTACCTAACATTGACAGACACCCAGAGCCGGTCGAGCTGGCGCGGATTTCTAGGCAGACCTTGTAAGTACTGTACCGTTGTTTTAAAAAAAAAATGAATTTGTTTTCGAACTTGTTTTTTTATTTAGATGAATCATCATGACTTTGCCAATATGAATCCAGCCTTTGACAACTATAACTATTTACCTGTAAAATATGGTGCACGTTGACACTAAAAGACTATTTGCCATAAGTTTTGTTTATCGCGAACAAGAAAATTGCCTAATGTTCATCAATAAACACCGTATGTTTGCTTTTCGGCAATCAAAAGCCTTTTTTTTTTTTTTATCTGTACACGGATGATGGATGGCGTTTTAATACCAACATCTAGGACTCGTTTGAATTAATTTTAAATACCAACATCTAGAACTCGCTTTTTACACAATTAACTATACATTTAATTTGCAGCAAATCTTGAATTTTATCGACGCCCGTAAAAGCCCTGCGTTGAGCGTAAAAAGCAATCTGGTATTAAGCGGGTGGTAAAGGCGGGGAAGGAGCGGGCGGGCCGCTGTTGATTGAGTGAGACGTTGTAGTGACGCCTCGGCCTTTCCAGATAAACGCATAACGGTAAAAGTTGTGTTTCTTTGAATACAGTTTCAACTTGTTTGTTATATTGCAACCGAAATTATCTTCCTTTTTTTCTTTTCCTGCAACCCTCTGAAAAAAGGGTTTTAAATTTTGGGTTAAAACGGATCCGTTTTGCGAGCAGAATGGCTCCCGGTCCGTTCATTACTGACAGTGGGGCGGGAACCGCCAATAATTCGAAATTTGTAAAGAATAATCCAATAACTAAACAAGGGCCTATTTTGCCGGTCGATGTCTCATTCCAAAAAGAATAACCTTTGTAGTGCTAGAAAAATAACAATTTAGAAAAGGAATATATTTTTCGGGATGAAACTCGAAAATAGCACGGAAACGCAACTTTAAATTTTCGTCGTTTCCAAACGTATTGCTCTTTTGAAATACGCGATTTCATAGGCTGTGCCGCTAATATTAAGTCATTCAAAGCATGAACTCTTTATCTCTCAGAATATGTAGGAAGAAATATATATTAAAAACAGGGTAATTCCGTTCCTTTGAAACAAATGGTTTTAAGACTGAAATGAAGGATCGGCTGAACTTTTTTTGGGGGGGGATTACATACACATGAAAATATGAAAAATTGGAAAAATTTTGATATTTAAAAAATAAGTGCCACTTTCATATGGAACAATTTGCCTGCAAAAACTGAACACCTCATTCCAAATGTTTACATTAAACCCTAGCCTCGTAAACTGAGCTAGGTATAGCCAGCAACTATTACTTTACATGGGTTTTGATACCCTATAAATTATGAATAGATCAAGGTACAAAAATGTGTAAGTTTTTGCCTGCAAAGTGATGGATTTCAGAGGGTTCAGAAAGGTTCCCAGCCAATATGTATAATATTAGACTTCTGTTTTTATACCACAAATGTGAGCCCACCAAATCATCATGCAAGATTTAAACGGAAACACCAAATAGGCATTGTCAAAGTATGGGTATTACAAATATCAACAATCAGACTGCCTCTAAAATGTTGGACCAGTACATGAAATGAAAAAAAAATGACGATTTCAACAATTTTTTGAATCACAAACATTTAAAAATGTTGTGTTTGAAATTTTGTGTTCTTTCTCTCTGTCTCAAATTGCTTTGGAAATGGATAGTTGGATTAAGTTGACTGGCATACTTTTATTTCTTTGGAAACGCTGGGTGGGTCAAGATTGGCCCCCTCCCCTTTCCCCATCAAATATCTCTGCTGAGTTAACTGATTTACAGTGTGTTTATTAAAACACTTTTCATCAAAGTCAACTTGTCAAAGAAATTGAATGAAGCATTATTCAAAACTGTGGGCTCCAGAATAACTGTAGAGTTTACAATCCTGCTTCGTTCAATTTTCCTTGATCAACTCAAATTTGATCATAAGCAAAATGTGATCAGTCTCGCTGTGGTTATTTTGAAGCACACTCATTTTTGTCATTCCTTTCAGGAAACAGTCTTTTTATGAAACGCCAGTGCCAGCTCGTGCAATGAAAGACACATTTCATCCCAGCTATCCATCCAACATGTACAGTTCTTCCAAGGCCATGGAAGCCTGTGTCAGTCCCACTTCCACCCCTACCAAGATACAATGGATCAAGACTCCCTGTATCCGGCCCTCCCAGGGCCTGCCAGCCCAGGACAACCTGACTAAGCCAGACTGGCAACCTCCAGTCAAAGGCCCGGGGATCATCCAGATAGGAGATGCACCCAGTGATGTGCAAGGTGCAACAGAGCCTGAAGGGGTTGCCATACCAGTTGCCAATGTTGTTGGGTGTGCCTCAGACTTGCTGGAAAAGAGATCAGTTTGTGACATAAAGGCGGCACATGGTGTAATTGCCACAGCCCCACAAACAAGTCTTGCTGGATGCTCCGGTGTGTCTCAGGAAGACTGCAGATACCAGAAGTCTCCTGATAGTGAACACGTACTGAAACAATTCTGGCCACACAGTGTGTCAGAAACTGTCAGATCAGGAACAAAGAAATACCTGTCTGAAGAGACCAAAATACTTTCCCATCAACTTCAACCACCTTTAAATAATAAATGCAATACTGACATGTCATTGCCTAAAGAGGAAACTAATTCAGTTCACATTACCTTCCACAAAAACCACAAGCCTATCTTGCCAGGTACTTCTGTCGATCCTATTCACAAACCGTGGAAGGCTGAGGGGACTGTTACTGGGGCTGGAGTGTGTCAGACAAGACATTCCAACCTGTCTGACATTGAAAGGCAGAGAGGACCCATAAAGAAACGCCACATCAACTTCCAGTCTGACGCCTTAGATCTGAGCACCAAGAAGGCCAAAGTGGAAAGGGTAATGAGTCCTGAGGGCCTGGAAGTGTCCCCTGATGGGAGTTGCATCAAAATGCAGTCTATTTCAAGCCACCAGGTACTGATGGACCATGAAGGGATAAGTGTGACCCTGAAACAAGAACCTCATCTAACTAACACGGCGGCCACAAAACAGGAGACTTCTCTACCACAAGCAAATAAATTCATGCCAACTCCCGATGCAAGAGACAGGAAACGCAACATGACAGGAAACATTTCAAACTTGGATCAAAAACAACTATTAACTAACCCTACAGCCATTTCCGGTAATCAACTTGAGTGGCAGTCATATGAAATATCTGAAAACGACAATGCTTACTCAGCTAGAAATCTTGTGCCTGTGCTTCCAAGCCAGGAATTTGTGAGACAGTGGGTTATGCATGTAACCCAGAGCAGTGATGTGTTTGCCACACAGAACCTCAAAGCCAAAGTCAGCCAGGATGCAGAGTTACGCCATTCCCCAACCTCAGTGGCCAGCTATCAGGGTAGCGTGTCTTCCTCTCCCACTTTCCACAACCCTGGGAGAGCCTCAACCCTGTCTACAAGCACTGTCACGAAAATGGTGAAGCCTTACGCATGCGAGCATTGCTCCTCCACGTTCAAGCACCGCCACCATGTTGTCCGTCACATGCGGGCCCACAGTGGTGAGCGCCCTTTCCGCTGTGACCACTGCAGTGCCACCTTTGCCCGTAAGTGTGTACTGACCAACCACCGGCGTACCCACACTGGGGAGAAGCCCTATATCTGTAGTGAGTGTGGCGACACCTTCAGCCGCAAGCACCACTTGGTTATCCACCAGCGCACCCATAGCGGTGAGAAGCCCTACCGCTGCCGTGACTGTGGGGCAGCCTTTGCTCGCTCACATCATGTCAATCGTCACCGCAAGACTCATGAAAAGGAGGCAGAGGTGGATGCACAGATACAATGGTTGGAGTCCAACGTCCGCGGGTTGAACCACACCCTTCCCACAATGGTGTCGCTGGGCCACTCAGGTGCCTCATTAGACCATGATTTAGAATCCAAACCAAGCCTTTCACATGAAGTGACACCGCCTGTGGTAAAGACAACTGTGGAAATGATTAAAAGCCACAAGGTACAACATACAGAGAGCACAGTCAGTACACATAAAGACGAAATCATGGTGAACAGTGTGACATATAAAGATTGACTTTATAGCATACTTAATTCCAACTCTTTAATGTAAACAACTCCTTAAACTTGCTCTGCCATTAGTGTAAGTTTCAACCCGAAAATTAGATTTTGTTTTTAAATTGCTATATTTCCAGCAATACAAAAGTTATTCACTTCTGAGTCATTGAGCAAAATTTTCTGCCAATGTTTAGTTACTTTACAAACTTCCCATTATTAGTGGCCCAACAGTACTCCACGCATATCTTTTGTGCATTATGGGCACAAAAGCAACAAAAACTGAAAACCTATTTTTCAGGCGATGGAAAATGCCCAAAATAGAAAAAAAGTATTGGTAGTTTTTGTGTTTAAATAAAAACATACAAATTGAAATTCATTCAGAAAAAAAAGTTCAATATGCTGAAGAGCAAGCATTTGTTAAGAGAAAAAGGATGGTATATGCTGAAGAGCACGAGTAGAGCAACTTTAAGTGTAAAAATTATTACATTTATACCATCTCTTATTTGAAAAAACAACAGTTCCACTAAACACTGAGTAGCCTTTAAAGTGGCACTGTAACTTTGAGTAAAAACAACTTGATAAGCAATCAGAGTCTGTGAAATTCAAAACAATGATGTGGATGGTCTCTCTAAGAGTTACTAAAAGGTCAGAGGGATTATTCATGTGCAAATTGTGTCCCACATCAAAAGCAATGTTGAAGATGTTTCTGGTGATTTCCTTTTGGAAAAGGTCACTCGGGCAGCCAAAAAATATGTAGGTGTTATTCCACTCTAATAGGATTCTTGTTCACAGGGGGAAGAGGGGGTGGTTGGTTGACATTCGGCAGCACTGCCACAGGAGAACAAGCCACCAATGACATAGGTGAAAGAAGTGCTTTTCCCACCAATGGAAAGTTAGGGAAATTCATGATGCCACAAATGATAACATATTATGTTGTCATAGTTTTAAAATGGAAATTTCAAGATGGATCTCCTTTCTTGTATTTTCAGACAGTTACATCATTTACTTGTAAAAATTTTTTGCTGTAACAAAGATGATTTTAGACTACTGCACTTCGGCTCTGGAAAATCAATGCTTTTATCAACAAAACAAAATGGTATATATACTGCAAAAGGTATCAACAAAAAAAATAACTGTCAAATATCAAATTTGCTCAGTGGTGTTTTCTACACTTTGCAGTTAGTCCTAGGTGACAGAGTTATTATTTTTATCTGAAAGTTTATTTGAAAGTACTGAAGGGAAAGAAGGTACCTTAAAGAAACAAACATCTGTGGCTGCACTCTGTGAAAAGTATTTAGGCTGGTGATTTAACAGGTGTGGCACAAGGTTGCAGTAAACTTTTGCAAATTGCAATATGTATTTCAGCTGATTTGAATCATATAAAAATATGATTATTTAAAAATATGAAAGTAGTTATAACTTAAATGTAAGAAGTTTTGATAAAATTGTATAAATTTGATGGCAGGAAAGTCTTTAATGGCAACATTTCAAACAGAGAGTACAATGGAAATTCCCTCTCATATCCTCTGTTTGTTACTTTTTTAATTACTTTGTGAAATGCATTGTCATTGCTTTGAAATGAGGATGTGCTGTTTTTGCAGATATGAGGTTGGGCTTGTCATATTTGCTTTGTTGCCATGGATGCGACAATCCTACAAAACCACAGGATCCTGACGCATGCCAATTCCATCATTGTTTACATGCACTGGACTTGGCATCAGCATTTTATTTCTGTTATTTCGATTAGTAGTGTAGCATTTGTCAAATCTTATTCAATTTTTGCAATGTTGGCTCATTAACTAGTTTCTTGTGGCTAAATTATGTGTTAGCTAGTGGCAGCTTTTGTCAGCTTTAATTGTGCATTATAAAATTGTATCACTTTAGATTATGAATCACATATCAAATTAAAACATTGTATAAGTAATCACAGCGGAAAAAAAATTGTTGCTGCTATATTTTGCCAAAAAGGAATATATGTGTTTAACATCAAGATATATCAACTGTTTAATTTCTGTAAGATTTGATCTGAAATCCCAAGTACTGTATTGACCAATAACTTGATAATTGATTGGTGTTTTTATAACCTGTTGTAAGTATTTTTCATGACAGAAGTATCATTTACTTTATTTAATGGTTGTACTGGTATGTACTGGTTTCGAAAATAGTGCATTAAAAATGTGCCCAAAAAAACTGGTTTAACAAACTAAAAAATAACTGCAGGCTACATCACCACCCTCAGAATGCACTGGAAATATGATATTGATACATGTATCTGCCCTGGTTAGTTGGGGGGGGGGGCATACATACTCAGCTATGAAATTAACTGGAGCTTTGTGCAAAGAACTAATACAGAGACACAAAAGTGACCAAAAAACCCAATAATCTTTTGATTTCAAGCAAACTTGAATCTTCAATGAACACCAGTCAATTTTTATGTCAGAGCAGAAAGAGAGGATCCAAAAATGTTCTAATCTTAATTTCACAGCACAAACCACACTCTTAGTTTCCAGTGTTTGGTAAGTTAAAGATAAATCTGTATCCACCTTGTATAGCCATTATATTTTTTTGTCTGGAGGCACTTTGCAAAGTATTTTGCAGTAAATCTCAATTTTTCTTAGCTTCCAAATGACAATATGTCATAATTAGGCAGAAAGATATACTCCGCTTTATTTACTCCTACTTAGTATAGGTTTGGGGTTGGTCTGTTTGTATACGAAATTGCAATTAGTCCTGTTGGACTTTAAATAAACCATAACAAGTAATTAAATGTGACTGCAGTACATTAGCATCTGTATTTATATAAGCTGGTCACTTTCAATGCAAATTAAAGCACTATGCAATATTTTGTCACAACAATGAAAGCTGTCAGTACAATTCATTTTATGGTCAAATTAAGAGGGTGTCACGGTTTAGGAAAGCATGCCAAACAGCTAAATTCAAAAAAAAAATTCAGAATTCAGAATATTTCTGAAATGAGACGCCACCTTAGAAACAGTCATTCTATCAATTTGGGTCCACTTTTTTTCCTGACCCTGTTACATCTGGCATGTGGTTTTGTAATTCTGATACACTCCTTAATGCACTTGCCCTCCAAGCGTGATTATGAATAGCAACTACCTACCCAACAAATAAACAAATCGTTTGAAGTCATTCTTAATTACACTTTATAGCAAATTGCAAATTATCAAGGTAACAGGGACTGGAAAATATCACACTTTAAACACTTAATTAGTATTTCCCCAGCCATTTTATACGTCTTGATCACCCTGAAAGTATAAGTAAGATTTTTGGACCTTCTCTGCACACGTGTGTAAAGCACAGAAATATTTTCTCGGCAACAACGGATCAATCCAGGTTCATACCAGGTTCATATGATTTAATTGCTCAGAACTATTTTGATGACAGCCTTAATATTATTGGAATTTTCACTTCATCAGTGTAATTTCATGAGCACTGCTTGCCACTTGCTTTCTGAGAGTTGTATTGGAAAATACAAGCCTTCTCGGGTAGGCCTGGAACCTATGACCTCCTGGTTACTTGTGCAGACGGCATCTTAACCACTTGACCACCAAGCTCAGGTCGGTTGGCTAGTTCAAATCTGATACTGAACTGTAGTTGATGGAGTTTCCTCGAGTTTCTTGAAGGTCATAGCCTAACATCTAAAATGTATAAGTTGTTCATAAAAGTAGCTAAATTTGGCGGAGCATATAATGCTTATCATTATAATACTCCCGCTTTGTCATGGCCCCACAAAAACATTGCCAAAATATTATGTTCAAAGTTGACTATAAGAAACACATCATGACATTGCCTCTTTCCTTGTGACTTATGTGCAGCTGTTTTTTTTTCCTGGGCATAAGCATGCTAAACAAACGATTCTTTGCTAAGCATCTCTGTGCACGTGTTCTGGGACCTAGTAAGCTCTAGCTTGAAACTAATTATTTAACTGATTATTGTCAAAAGCTTCCAAAACATTCAACATTTCACAGCACGTTATGACTTTGTTCTCTGGCTGGTTCTCATCCGACAGTTTAAATAAGCATGCATTCAATGGTTCCTAAGCATCTTATTCTTTGCTTAGCATCTCCCAAAAAGCAGGACCCCAAAGCATACTTCTTTTTTTTAAAATCAGCAACTACCTTGAAAACGAAAGGTCATAATTTTGTGGGCCATGATGACCTTTCCTATCAGAATGACTCAGTCGACCTTGTTTTCAGCCAGACTGTCATACAAACCACATGTGAGCCGTGGAAATAACACACAAGATTACAAGCTTAAAACTGACTTAAAAAGTGTCCTGAAGTTGTCACTACCTCCCTCCATGGCCATGTCACCACTCACCATTCACATTAAATTAACAAATCTCCCAGCCAACTCTTAGAACATTTGCCACCAAACTTCTAAAATGGCTCTCATTCCCATACAGAACAGAATAATTCTTTATTCCTTTGAAAAGGAACATATGCACAAAAACCTTCATATAAACATGTGAAAGGTCACTTTTGAAATCACCAGTGTGAAGATGGGGGGAATGTCCACAGCAATGATCAATTTCAAAAATCTGAAGTGATGCAGTTTCAACCTGCAACTGGTAAGTGGGGAAATAACAACCTTATTATTTAAATCCTATACAGATAAAAATTCAATAACTACATCTTTTTGCTTTACAAATACACTTGCTTGTTAAAAAGGACACCAAGGCTATATTTGCTCTATTTTTCGAAAGCATTTCAAGCAGTTTATATATTTTGAAGCTCTGAAGTGCAGGACAGAGTCTTTCCACTCATTTTAAGGGCAACAAAATAATTAATTGTCAATTAAATGGCTTGAATGATAGATTTTTTTCAGATCTAAAAAAAAAGGAAAAAATAGTTTTGCATTTATTAGAGCTATTTTATGATGTATTTCAACTTTCAGAAATCAAAATAAATACATATCAGTCTTTTTGTACAGTGGCGCACCCAAGAGGGGGCTCGGGGGACTTGAGCCCCCCCCCCCCCCCAGAGGTTGTCATTTTTTTTTTTATTTGTATGAACTCGATCTGTGCATGGACACTAGACACTTCGTGCACTTTTGAGAGCCCCAATGGAAGAGACATACTGCGCACACGAACTGATTTGCACCCGTATGGTAGAAGTACGCACATTGCAACTTCTTTTGTTCTGAATCTGCATAAACCTGCAACGTCTTCACGTGAGCGTCAGGCATTGATGACAATGTGTTCAGGAGTCCCACCCAGTAGTCTCCCCCGACTCTCCCTTCGTAACCATTGAGGGGGGTACATTGAGTTGCACTTATGCATTAATATTTCGGCCACTTACGTTTGCAGCGTCAAAATAACTACAGCATGTAGTCAAAGTATTTGGCTTCAGACTTAAGGTATTCACGATCCACATCACAGAAATATTTCTGCATTGTGCTAAATGATCCCCTTAAAAAAACCAACACTCTCAATCATTTGAGAAATGCAGAGTATGCATCTCAGGATTCAATGTAGAGGTAACACCCATCCAAAATCTTGTCCCAAAAAAAGAACAAATACAAATGACCTCCACATTCTTGTTGCCACCCAGTTTTTTCACCCACTCTGTAAAGGCCTGTGGTGTGTGTGGGTGGGAGTGTGTGGGTGGCTGGGATGCACAATACATCAGTTATGCAGGCCACACCCCTAGGCAAATCCCGCTGGGACCTATGAATACATTTTCTTTGGGTACCTCCACCCAACTGCCACCCCCGCACAACTATTGTAAGGCTCAGGGTGACCATGGATTTGGTAAAGTGTGCCCAATGGTGTCCCACCCATAAATCACAAGCAGCTGTTTATTAACAACAAGATCAAGGTTTCGATAGGCTTTTCGTACAGGATATAATGGGTTTTCAATGGCTTTAGGAATGTATGGCGAGGTCAATGCATTTTGGGTAAACACGTACGTTATACAGAGTGATGTCATATCATCTTGTTGACAGTCTGGCACATTGTTATAGCTAGGCTTATCCCACAAACAATAAGGCAACACTGATTCTGTGCCAAAACTCAACTGCAACCCTGTGGATTTTTTTTGGGGGGGGGGGGGATTTAGGGGGGGGGGGTAGATTTACAGCTCAAGAGAGGAATTTCCACACATCAAGTTCTGCAGTAGCGACTGAAATGCTGGGCATACCAGGCAAGTCCTAACTTAAAGTTGCTTCACAAAAAGTACTTACAAATCTTAGCAACCAACAAAGGCTGTCTACGAACCTCAAATTCCTACGTTGGGACTTTAAAAGTATCTACATGTGCTTGGAGCTGCTAATGGACAAAAAATATTGCTTTAAAAATTGTGCACCGGGCAAGTTTAAACAAAAGTGGATTATTAGTGCCAAAGTCTGTTGTTTCTGTTACTTTTTTTAAAATTTTTTATACATGTAGGTACAGAGTGGTTTGCTGTGAAATATGACCATGCCCCTCCCCCCCCCCCCCCCCCAATGATGTGTCAGCCATGGTTTCTGACCATCTTACAAAATACAAAAGATGGAAATTTGTCTGAAATATCCTGATTTATGATCGAACCTCAGCTACAATGTCAAGTTTGAAGGACACAAAACATTGCATGCGAACAGATATTGATTTAAAGAAAAATAGTATAATGCTGATCATTATGAGAAGCACCCATCAGTTTCCACCACAAAATTAACGAAAGGACAATCTTTTCCAATTGTTTGCACCCTGGGGAAGTATGGGCCCACCCAGAATGCTTTCCAGTACTAGGATGTCACTTTAGTGCTTATTGATTTATGCTCATTGTAGCTCGATTGATAAAAATTATAATAAAAATTAAAAAAAAAATAACCCCGAACCCCCAAAATGTCAGCATTTTATATCACATCAGGACTCTTTGGACAGTATAGGCAAACAATTCCACCTCACCCATACATGTACTTCTGCACCTATCAGCTTCATGAATGCGGTCAGTAATATCTTATTTCGGAAAAGAAACAAAAGGTGCACCATTTCTTTTTCTTGTTCTTTTTTAACATTTTATTTCATACTAAGAAAATATATACAATTTAGGTTTGTTTACAATTAATTTCTCTAACAAAATGAAACCAAGCCATCTGAAATTAACCATTGGTTTATCTTTATTTGTTTTGTTTTATTTTGACAGATTTTTACTTACTTAACTGTGACTGCAGCATTTAAAATGCTGTTCAGCTCTGTGAGCACAAAACAATTTTTTTTATTCATCCCTGAAATCAAATTAGCCCCAACTCCCTCAGAATTGTGCAGAAAATGAACTCAATCCCTATTGAAAATATTTATAATGCAGTTTTTAAAGAGCAACTTTTGAAATTGAACAGCTCAATGAGAAACTAGGATGTGCACAATATCTGCAGCTCCTGTTCACTTTGTAACAAGAGTTAAAAACTATTCCACTAATTCTGAACCAGAAATTACCAAGTACATTCACCTTATCTCTGATAAAGCACTTTTTTGGATAACCAGTAGTACTAACTATCTTGAATCCACTGTTGTACCATGAATTCCATTATTTGTCATGGAACCTCCAAGCGCATGAATTTGTATACAATTGGTTGTTTTGTTTTTTAGGGGGGGGGGGGACAGACTGAGCAAACATATGGAAGAAGCCACCTTTGCATGTTACATGTACTGCTTGTCAGCTGACCTTTCATGTGTGATAAGCTCATTGTCAAATTCGAACAGATACACACACATCCTGATTGCCCGACGGTATCCAATTTCCAATCGGTACATTCAATTTAGGCTGGTGCATGGCACATGTAAAATGTGATCTAATACATGTATTTCATCAAATCCAAGATTAAATAACCGAGTACTAAATTAATCGAGAATGCACAGCACTACCAAATTTTTCCAAATCCTCCAATGTAATATGAATAGAAGAAAAAAAGCACACTTATGGATCTTTTCCATGTAACTTGGTGTACATTTATGTTATCTCATTACTCACAATTTGCAATGGCAATATTACTTCTACCACATGGAACTGTACACCTTTTACCTACATGTATAGTCTTGCCACCAACAAATGTGTCCACAAGTTTACAGCATCGTTAGCATTAACGAACCCCTGTATTACCAAATCATGCGATTTACAGGTAATTGTACTTATTCCAGTTTTACAGCCTCCAAACAATTTCTGTGAGTGTCATCAATTTAAAAGGTGAATGTACTTTCTACAGAATGATGCAACTTTTTAAGAGTAAAACAGGTTTGTGTGTTGACTCTCACGTAGAGGTTATCAAGTGATAATAAACAATACGGTCTCATGTGACTGGGCTTGCACAGGTATAAGTTTGTAATATGTAACCATTTAAAGCACACGTTACAACTAAAATAACATTTTTAAGATAACCACTGCCCCTGCCAGGCACATTAAATTTGTTGAGAATTGACACATTTTGCCAAAAAAAAAAAAACACCAAAAAATCTGTTTTGGCAAATGAACCGAACCAGCTAAAGACTTTTGGTAAGCAGCCACAATCAAAATTGTAACTCTTCACTTAGAAAAATAGATTAGTAGCCACAGTAGCTAGTGATATATACATGTCCTGCTTGTGACTGATTCGTAAATTGCACAAGCAATAAGGCCACACAGCTTCATGTGCAAAAGGACTGGATCTAATACTTGTACGGGTCAAAATGTTTGATCATCAACACTTGAGAAGCAGTTCAATATTAAGCTTTGTGAATTGAGGTAAAATTAAACTTGTACCAACATCCAAGTCTATTTTGTTTATTAACTCATGCCAGTACAACATTAATTATAAAATGCTTTGAACTGTTTTTTAACGTTTGGTTAAAGCACAAACATGTACAGATGATTATGAAATATGCAATAAACTTAGCATAGTTTTTAGTAAAGAAAATAAGGCTTTTTTTTTTAATAACATGGATTAAAGATCCGCCACCAAAAAGAAAATTGGATTTTGAAAAAATCTGGTTAATATCAATCATATTGCGCATTAAATTCATAATTTAATCAAAGCAATGTTCGATCCTTTTACAGGGCAAATGTTTTCTAATTATATGCAGTAAAACTGCATGACGACATTTTGTTCAAACACTTTTGTGTCTGAATACTGTGTCCAAATACTGGGGGCACCCTATGGGCAAGCTATAATGGGCACCCCAACAGTCACATCCCCCCCCCCCCCAATATCTCGGGATCTCAAAAATCTGTAATCCAAGTAATTAAAAAGCCAGCCTTTAGCCAATTGTATCTTTACCTAAACTACTTAAAGTTTAAATATTCTGCAAGACAACTTATCTAAATCAAGTGATTTGCAAGATTGAAACATCACAGTTGTATACATGCTAATCACTTTTTCCAAGGTACAAAGAACCTTTTTTTAATTAACCAACATACTTTTTTCTTTATATGTAATAAAAAAAATTTTTTTAGTCAAGCGCTTGTCAGGTCTGGATATAGTGTATTGCTCCACATATGTACATGTACTTTACTAACACAAACAACTTCCCCCAAACCCATGTTCACTTTGCTGGACTCCCAACACATAGTGACATCAAGCATTAGCCTCAAAGAGGTCACTTGTCTACCTCAATACAGACATCCTGCATATATTGTTTAAGAGTTAATGTGTCAAACCAGACAACCATGTCCTACAAGAGTAACATATGACTCAGTACACAGAGTATTACTTGAGAGAAATCTAATCATCAGCTCCATCGATATCTGGGCTGCTAGGGCTGTAAGAGGGGGATGCAGGGGAGTAACCAGGTGACATGGGGGAATAAGAATCCTGTGGACTTGTAGGAGAATAAGAAGGTGAACCAGGACTGTACTTGGGACTTGTAGGGGAATATGATGGGGACGTTGGGCTGTACTTGGGTGTCTGTGGGGAATAAGTCGGGCTTGCTGGGGAATATTTGGGGCTTGATGGGGAGTATTTGGGACTTGATGGGGAATAGCTTGGGCTGGCAGGGGAGTAAGTAGGGCTGGTCGGGCTGTACTCTGGTGATGTAGGAGTGAAGTGGGATGCCCCGCTGTAACTTGGAGAGGTTGGGCTGTAGGACGGGCTGGAGGGGGAGTACTTAGGACTGGAGGGGGAGTAACTGGGCGAACCAGGGCTGTAACTGGGAGACTGTGGGGAGTACCCAGCAGGAGATGTTGGGCTGTAGCTGGGAGAGGTCGGAGAGTAACTGGGCGAAGTTGGGCTGTAGCTGGGCGATTTGGCTGAGAAGCTGGGGCTGGTTGGCGAGTAGCTGGGGCTTGTTGGCGAGTATTTGGGAGAGCTAGGTGAGTAACTGGGTGAGGTTGGGGAGTAACTAGGTGAGGTTGGGGAGTAACTGGGTGAGGTGGGGCTGTAACTGGGTGAAGTTGGTGAGTAGCTGGGAGAGGTGGGACTGTAGGAGGGGCTCGTTGGGGAGTAGCTGGGTGACGTCGGGCTGTAGCTTGGGCTGGTTGGGCTGTAACTGGGGCTAGTGGGGCTGTAACTTGGGCTGGTGGGTGAGTAGCTTGGACTTGTTGGCGAGTAACTAGGGCTGGTGGGCGAGTAGCTGGGACTTGTCGGGGAATAACTGGGGCTCGTGGGCGAGTAGCTTGGGCTGGTTGGTGAGTAACCAGGACTTGATGGTGAGTAGGAGGGGCTAGTAGGGGAGTAACCCGGACTCTGTGGGGTAGCCGGGGAACCAGTGATGTAAGATGGTGATGCCGGCGAATAGCTGGGCGACATTGGGCTGGCTGGAGATGGGATGTATGGGCTGGTTGGGCCTGGGGAACCAGGGGAGCTTGGCTGCGGAGACCAGGCAGGGCTGTAGCCAGGGCTAAACCCACTGGCATCTGATTGGGCCGAGGGGCTAAAGCCTGCACCTCCAGGGGTCATTCCGCTTCCTGTTGGCACAAAACCGGGTTCTTGGATTTCTTCTTGTTAACTTTCAATTGTAAACTTACATGTGCTTTGTATAATAATAATGAACAACTAATTACATTAGTCCCTTGAATAATTACATTCGCTCCTCAAATTGCTACATTACTAGGCTTATGTCTTTTTGCATGATTGAAATTTAAAATTTCGAAGTTTCATAAACAAACACTACATTTCATGTAACCATGAAAATATGTGGTATACAAAACAATTAAGCATTGCATGTATAATAATGCACATAATATTCTTTACAATAACACCCATGCATTGCTGGCATCTTAGAGGGGGGTGTTCTTTGTTATCATATAGTAACAACCAATGCACAATCAATGCCTATCCAAGTGACTATCAACAAAGGGATCAGCAAATATAAAGTCCAGTATAAGGCCAAAAAAAATAATAAGTCGGTCTCTGGTCAGCGCGCGCGTCGATTTTAATCATGCGCGTCGATCTTTTTTCTTCCAAAATGTTCCGCGGTAGCTCCAACAGCGCCCTCTATTTCCGCACCTCCTCAATTTTTTTTTACCAAAGAGCACCAAGGAATGGGAAATTGCACCAAGGCAAATGATCGAAAGCACCAAGGCAAATTATGGAGGACACCAATGTACATGAGGACACCAAAAAAGCAAAATAGTACCCACCTTGTCTGTACAATCCAAGCTTGAAGAAGAAAAAAAAAAAGCCGCGTGGCCGCGTCAATTCCGGAACTTTGGTCTGACCAGAGACCGAATATTTTTTTTTTTGGCCTAAAACACCTTTTTTCCCTCTTTCATCTAACTGTATTTCTTTCGGATTAAAAAGATTCATCAAATGTCTGAGTATCAATTGAATATTCAAATATTGGCACATGCTTAACAGTTCACATACAGGTTCAATGATGATGGACAGGCAACTCAAGTAACTGGGTAATTTTAAATATAAAATGGACTTACCCATGGGTGACCATGCTGCACCGTAAGCTGGGGTTGCTCCTTGATTCCATGGAGTCATCTGAGGTGACATACTGGCAGATGGTGATGCAGCCGCACCAAAGAACATGCCAGTCATTCCACCTGCATGAAAAACACAATCAACAAATTGACTGACAGTTTCATTTCCACATTCCTTTAAGACTTCTAGCAAGTGTTCGTCTCCTCTCAAACAGGGTGGGAAAAACAAGATAGCTTGGCATAGATGGGCCTACTCAAGAGGAGCCAGTGAAGGACTCACTGCATGCACTTTCTATGGACTGGACTATCAACACAGTTGTGTTGTAGTCCACGCGTGTTTTACTATACGCCTGAGGACAACCTATTGTGTTTCCCTTTGTCCCTGTACTTTAACACTTTCCCATAGACTAAGCACGTAAACGTACGATCGAGGACAGTTTCCAACAAAAGACCCAACGCCCGAGGACTGAAAGGATCTTTTGTTCTCCCTTTGTGTGTTGGTCCTCGGGGGTTATGTAGAACACATACACACCCACCCACGTGTGTAAATGCCGGCAATCGTGGACGCCCTATTGTCCCTTATCCTCTTTCCTTTGTTTGTACTCTTAACTTTTTAGCGACAGCTCTCATTGATTTTGTACACGATTTGAGATCGTGGACGTTCGGTCAATCGTGGACGTATTGTTTGCGCCCCAATTCTTTTGTCCTACGGCCACGATTGCCGGTGTTTACATACTCACCCCCACACATACACACGGACGGACAAGGCAGAAACAGTATGCCCCTTCGGCTTCGCCGGCGGGGCATAAAAATGAATATGAAACATACAAAAGAAATACTAAATAAATCTACAACAACAATAATTTACCTCCAATTCTGAGGCAAATTGGAATGGGGTTATGTGGCAATGTGGCAAAGAGGCAAAGTTTCAATGGGACAAAGTTACAATGGGTTGAAGTGACATGGAGCAAGTGGTAATGGGGCAAGTGACATCAGGCAAACAAAAATAGGGCAAAATGACCAACATCCTTAATGTTCATCCCGTTACCTGTGGCCTAACTCTTCAATTGACTTGTGGTTTTCTTTCTGAGTGGAATTATGATGGACTCCACTCAACACTGGTTGACTCATGACACAGAGTGCATGGGACTATTGACATCTGAATGTGTTCAGCCCTGCAGCATCTTTGTATGAGAGGAGTGTACATGTTCTACATAACCCAGGAGAACCATCACACAAAGGGAGAACAGATCCTTTCAGTCCTTGAGAGTTGGGTCTTTTGTCGGAAACGGTCCTCTGTTGTAAGTTTGTGTGCTTAGTCTATGGGAGAGTGTCATATTACAGGGACAAAGGGAAACACAAAACAATGTCCTCGAGAGTATAGTAAAACAAGAGTGCGTGCACAAAAGTGTGGTTGCCCAGCAGTGAAGGCAATCAAGCGCCTTTAAATCAGCACCTTAGGATTGTCACCAATGCACAGGTAGTTGTGCACCGAGTCTGTACTTTTACTTCAATGATTTTACTGCCAGTGCCCTGAAGCTGATTTCATGGCTACCCAACAGTAAACAGTCAGGAAATGATGTGCTTAGCTGCATATTCACTCACCGAGTCCTCCACCCATTCCCATAGGGATCTCCATGCCATGCTTGCATTTCTCAGCATCCAGCAGCAGTGCAAAGGACCCAGTGCCCACCCCAGCTAGCTTGCCCAGCATGATGTTCTCAGATACGCCCTTGAGGTGGTCCACCTCAGCGTGAGCTGCTGCGTCCATCAGGATATCCACCTGTGTAGAAATGTTACATGAAAATTACTCTTCACCAACTGGCCACTACTTGAACCTAATCATTTCCAGCGATGGAACTAAGCTCTCACAATTTAACAGCAAAATTGAGAAGTAGTTAAGGCATCAAAGTAATTAGTGTTGTAATAGGCCAGGAAGTCCTTAAATGCAGGATGATTTATTTCCCTAATTGTCTAACATTTGGATTGTGTTGGTCCGAGTAGTACCCCAATTAAAGACTTGTTGCTCTTGATGTTAAGACTGTTGAATTCAGCAAGCTGGACATATTTTTGCTTCTTACAGGATTCTGCTACATTCAGCAGGTTGGCAAGATAAACCCAATAAGGATAAACTAACATCAATATTGAACCCACAAACACAGCATACTGAGCATAGCCGTCAACATTCAATCTAAAAAGTAAATGTGCTGCCCTAAGATCTTCAAAGGAGTACAATGTCAAACTGTGCATATACTAAACATATAAGATGAATACCAACAGATGCATACACCAGTCAATGTCCATGTTCAACGTTGATATTGTTATGCACATACTCTCCGCATGCACAATTAAGCCCTATGTGCTGATCATATGCATTTTGGAGCCATGCCTGTCAAAGTTGAGACTGAAGGGTTCAAAGGTCACGTACCGTTTCCTCAAAGGAGCACCTCATGAGAGCGCCCACATCCTGCCTGTTGATACCATGGCGTGTGATGGCCATCAGGTGACCTTTGGCAGTCATGACATCACATAACAGGGCCAGGTGCCGGTAGTTGACATAGGAGCCATCAAAGGAGATGACATGGTTCATCTCACGCTCTACGGACTTGCGTACAGCCTCAATGCCAAGAACCTTAACAAGAACACACAAACTATAATCAAGATTCTGCTATCATAGGTGAGCTAATCTTGGCAAATGAGTCACAATACAACTTAAACAGAGGTTTTTAATATAGGACATTCAGGTTTGAGGCTGTAGTTGATTTTGGAGGATGCATTATGTCATGGTTTTAGGATGTACCCTGTGTTGTTTATGCTTTGAGATGCATACATTTAGGCCTAGATTATACTTGAAATCATCCACACTGCTTCTGGATAGTATCACCACTGCCTCAATGTATCAACAGTGAATGTTGGCGGATTTTGCAGGAACCCCTCCAATGAACAAATTCAAGAAATTACAGATGATTTTGGAGGATTGAGGCTGTATCCAATGTTTACATGGAGGAAGTGGATGATTTTGAAGGATTGAGGATGCATCCCAGGAAAAAGGTCTGGGGGTTAGGGATAAAGTAAAGTGATGCAATTACCTGGAATATCTCACAGATGTCGTTGGAGAAGGTACGGACAGGGTCCACCTCAGGATCACTGAGTACCTTCATCATACAGGTCCCATCTGTCTCCAGTAACCACTCCTGAATGGCCTTAAACTCTCCCTCCTCTGTGATGATGATACGCTTCTTGTTGTCCTGCTGTGGCAAGTGCATGTACACCTGTACACAAGAAAGATTGGATGATATGATGGGCTTTCACTATTACTTATCGGTTTCCAATCAAATTTGGGGGTTGGGGTCGACTTCACAAAGCACAACAATCCATCATAACTTAAATACACCATAGGTAACAACATAATGGTACATTATTACACACATCATATTTTTCATGGCAACACATCTTCAGTTTGGATCAGTTTAACATACTAGTGTCTTTTCATAGCTGCTACTAAGCAATGGTGCACAACAGTGCCAGTACACATCTGTCATTTTGACACTTTAATGACATAGTGGGAGTTACAACCTCAGTGCTGTTTTAACTATGACAATACGCCCATTGCTGTACAGTGTGTCAGTATAAGTACTTGTGATGGATCACAAGTACATCACTAGTCAATTCACAGGTCCAATCACAAGAAACAAAGGATGAGAGATAATAAAGGAATGCATTGTCAAAGTTCATTATGAACAGCTTGTGAGGTGACTTGGGATTGGATGACTTGTGTTTGTCATGTGATGACCCTTGATCTATCAAATATATCTCAACTACAACACTTCTGTGATTTAAATATGAGTACGATCTCATATCCATTTATTCTTTGTTTTAATTATAGTTGCGGATTCAATGTCAATTTCTCAAGTCTAAAACACACTGTTTGTATATCTAGCAATATTGGCAAGTCTTACACAGGCAAGTTCCAGCTCTGGAATGACAAAGTTTTATCTATGCCATTTTCACCCATTACAAACAATGTATAGGTGATGAGCTACCTATGACAACCCTTGCTTATAATCATGTCATACAGCTCTAGCTAAGATAATTCAAACTATAGTAACAGTTTGGCGGATATTATTCCTCTTACACTGAAAGATGGCTTAGGCCATCTATTGTTAAACGGCTGAATCTTGCTGCTCACCTTGCTGATCTGCTCAATCCCCTGCAGTGTCATGTCAGTCAGGATGTTAGACTCAATGCAACGCAGGAAGACGTTATCTTCCATCTTGTCCACTTGTTCCTCTTCCTGTCAAGACATCCATTCCACATAGGTTAAGTATTCAAAATTCTATCCAACTTTAGTGCTGTTGGGTTATACAAATAAACATTTATCCTTCAAATAAATTACCTTCACAATTATTTCACTGTAAGCAACATTCATATATCATTAGCCCAACTCCCCAGACAGTATCGCTAGGAACTTTCCTGAATAATCTAATGTCTTCCTCTAATAATAAGCTTTGGGCTCACCCCTTTTCAATCCTGCAAAATCTTCTGGAACATTCTTGTGGATTTTATGGTGTTACAAAGCTTTTGCCATTCATCCTTTAAAAGCCACTTCAATTTAGGTCACTTTGTGCAATCCTTATCTGTTCACTGTTACTGAGAGTATGATGCATATAATTTCCGGAGTAACTCTTCAAAAGGTACACCATCATAATGGTTATCTGACAAAAATAGTCAATCTTTCATTTCGGATTTCAACAAAAAACCTTTGCCCCCACCTCGCCAAACTTGCTGTCATCACTGCTCATGATTCGGATGCGCAGCACCAGCTTCTCAGCATTGTCATCATTGAAGATACAGTTCAAATCGTCACCAAAGCCTGCGTTGATCTTCTCAGCTATCTGCTCCATGGTTAGCTTACGGTCCGTCATGCGCTTGCGGTCCAGCTCAATACGAAGCAGCCATGGGGAGATCCGAGTAGGGTCAAAGTCTGGCATCTCATAGTACAGGTTGACCCAGTCCTGATCCTCCTCAATGACAGTGCTCTGGGGCTCTGGGTCATAGTAGATGGCCGTGTTTGCCGTCACTTTGCGCAAGGTGGTGTGCTCTAATCGGCACAGGATATCCTAACCAAAACAACATTTACAAAACAAGTTTACCCTCGTTTCTTGGCACATTTCTGGTATAAACTTGCAGCCATCAGATTTTGTAAGAGAGTATTGTTAAAGATGATGGCATTAACATCTTTTGGAACATTGCACAGTAAAATATGAGGACTTTTAAGTTATTTTTTTCTACAAAACATGTCTAGGTGGAGGACCCATAGAACATTCACTTCATTATTTAAAAAATGATTCACCTGGATGCATCCAGTAAAACCTTACGGTCTTTGCTTTGGGGGGGGGGGGGGGGCTGTATGCTAATTTATTTAAACATACTGAAAAAAGTATATATTTAGATACAGGTCAGCACTGGCATCATGTTATTTGCCACAACATGTCAAATGTGGAAAACAGGTGGCATTATAAATGCATGCCGAAGCAATACTTAGGATCTATGATATTGTATTCAATTACCTTTGCTCTCTCAGCATCTCGTGCAGCCTGGCCGATCAGGAAGACAGTCAGGGAAGGTGTCTTGGGCTTCTTAGAGATGTTGATGATCTCTTTGAGGCGAGGTACTCCTAAGGTCACGTTCTTAGCTGACACACCGGCGTAGTGGAAGGTGTTCAGGGTCATCTGGGTAGCTGGCTCACCTAGGGACTGGGCTGCCAGGGGACCTGCCATCTCACCAGGGTGAACCTGGTAGAAACAAACATGTCATTATTCTCGATCAATAATTACATAAAACCGCTTTGCTTTATTTGAGCAAAAGGTAACAATTAGCATGGATGCCTAAATTATTAGTGACAGAAGGCTATTACAATAATGACTAGGTGAGGACATCTGAACTATCTTGACAAGTCTACACATGGAAAGATCTAAATCCAAGGCTACACAACACTTCCTTAGTAGAATGCTTTTCTTTCAGCAAGACTGAGTGAAAAACATGAAGATATTAAGAATATCTAAGGAAAACTATGTTGTAATGCAGACATTTTGTTCCACCTTTCAATCCCAATGGCCACTAAAACTAAAAACTTTGTGACCCATTATTCTCCAATTCAGGCTTAAATTGCTTAAGTTTTGTATATTATTGACATACCATTTCCTACTTGTGTTTTGGTGCTCCAACCTGATCTGAAGTACAATAGTGTGTGCAGGAATCTCTGGATGATCAGTATTGCAAAATTTGCATTGCTTGTATTGTATGATGTAACCAGTGATAACATCTGACCAAGTCAAGTGAGTTGCATTTACACTGCAAACAAAGCAAGCCACTTGCCCCCCCTCCCTCCCCCCCCCTCCCCCCCCCCCACCCCCCAAATCAACCCTCTTTTCCAAAAGCCCATACCCTGTACTCACCAGTGCCTGATTGAATCGGGTCTCAATCTCACCCAGCAGCCAATCAAAGGACTCACTGGTCATGTGGTGCTCGTCGATGACACGACGGGAACAGAGCGTGGAGCGCAGCAGCATGTTGAAGAGCAAGGTGGCATTCTCTTGGGCCTGCTTGCTGATGCGATCCTCCCCCTTTACCACCACTAAATTCTTAGATAGCTCACGAACGCCTGCCAAGCGAAATAACCACAAAAACACACTGAAGATTCAACCTCAATCCAACCAAACAATAGTTTACATGCGTGTGTTGTTCTTCTATGAGACCCAGGTGGAGATGAGGGGACACTGTGCCTTCCTAGCTACAATAAAGAAATCAACTATGTATGTGGAGCATAAATGTGACTAAATCAATATATCTCAGGTCTATGCAATAAAAAGAAAATGAAGAACATCTTAACCCTAACCCCCATTTTTGTTAGAAAATTCCCCAAAATTTTGAACACCAAATAGAAAAGCAAAGGCAAATGTCTTTTCTCTAACAATCAATGCACCTCATTTGCAAATGCAATAAAATGTGACAAAGAGTTATCAATTCACTTTTCTTTTATTTGACCTCTTAAATTTTTTCAACAAAACCAATGTATAGACATTCTTTCCATACTTCATCAGGGCTATAATTTTGTGATTGACTTTTGAAAACCATTTGGCTAAGTTTAATAGAGCCATCAGAAGCTGCACAACTGTCTTTTCATTCCCTCTTTGCTCCGCCATAAGCATGCAGAGCCTCGATCTGGCAACTTTACACAATGAATAACCGGTTCAGTGATTCCCGGGTACACACGGGTATCACTGAACCCCACCACGGGAATCACTGAACCGGCTATTCATTGTGTAAAGTTGCCCGAACAAGGCTCTGCATGCTTATGGCAGAAGCGTGAAAAGAGCGAATTTATTACGGTCTTTATTATTTAGCATACAAAGGGTTTGCTTTGAAGTACACTTTCATTTCAAAACTTTGTTTATTCTTTTTTGCATTTTATTTAGCAGATGTGTCTTTAGAGACAAAAAATCAAGAGAATTTGTTTTCACCTTTTACAATTTTCAGTGGATGCAGGTCTGTGGTGTGCCTGGTATTAATGTGGAAGATCTTCTGTGCATTCCAGATCATGCGCTCCAAGTTGCATGGCAACACAACCTAAATGCAGCAGAAAAATATAAAATAACAATAATCAATCAGGTTAGTTTTTCATTTTTTCCCTTCCTTATATCCGGAAATTTGGTCTTCATATCTTATTCTTTTTAATGTTGCAACCAACTGACAAGTAGAGTGACTTGGATGTTTTGTTTCAGCAGCCAGACAGAGAGCTAAATGCAGGCAATGGTGGGATCAAACAAACTGGTCTTTGGGAAAAATATCTTTAAATAACAAAAATGTAGTCCAAAACGTCCAGCATACAGCCTTTTCCAGATTTGACCTTTGACTTCTGGAATAATTCCAAATTCACCTCCACCCACATCCTCTTCCCTATCCCATGACTGATTGATCTATCATGGTTTCCTGCTATTACCAAAAATGCTGTCTGAAGGGTATCAAATTCCTTGTTGGCTGGCCCACTATAAAGGGAGTCAATTCCTTTAGACAGTGGAGACATGATTCCTGGTCCTTGTCTGCAACAAGCCTAGCCTCCAACGTACCTTAGACTCTCCCATGGGCAGAATCTTCCTCAACACCTCCCGATCCTCCTTCAGCTGCTCATACTCTCTCTCAATTTCCAGATGAACTTGGGCATTTGCAACTACATCCTTGACAATGTCTTCAGTCAAGGTACGGCGCAATGCTCTGCAAAAACACACACATGCACACACAGACTTGTTTCACATACGTAGTGTGGACTTTCCTTTCTTTTCGTGTAGTTAAGGAACACCAGTGGAAAAACTCATTTTTCTCAAACTGTGAAAACTCTTACAACCCAATTTTTTTTCAATGATTCCCTTTAGTGTTTCTCTTCATTCTGCTACAGATAAACCTAACCCAAAATGCCTCTAAACCTGTTTTCCAGAAATGGGGAAACACTGTGTGGACGTGGGCAAGTCCACACTTCGTCGCTGCTACCTACATTATGTGGACGTCTTTTGTTCGGAAGTCCACACTGCGTATGTAAGACAAGCTCAACAACACTTGAATAATGTATGCATTTAAAAAGTAAAGAGCTATTAAAACATTCATTATACAAATAACCCTTGAATCACTGTGTAAATGAATCGCTTACTGTAACTGAATCAAAACATTGGGAAGGTGTCAATCAGATACTTTGCTGCACTTCCATACATCTGGCTTATTCATGACAACTCAGATTTGTAAGAAAAACAAGGAAATAGAGTGATCAATGAAAATCACTGCTTGCTAAAAGACTACTACACAATTGGATTACTGAGCATCAGTAGGGCTACATGTATTTAAATACAATGATCATGTCATTGAATAAGAAAAGAAATAAATCCGACATCACATTTACAGAACAAAAGCCGATAGGCGTCCAGTAGATACATGTGCACAATAGGCAAACTAAGTGACAGGTACGAATGTGTGTATGGTGTATTTTTGCAAAACCCACCTTTCGTTGGTACAGTCGAACCTGAAGCGTTTCTCAAAGGCCTTATGGGAGGGCTTGAGGGTGGGAAGGTTCTGGAACTCTACTTTGGTACCATCCAGCCCATCCTCACCATAACGTAGCTGCACCAGGTGGTCATTGCTATTACGTAGTGTGCCGTCATAGCGCACCATGACACTCTCCATGGCCTTAATCAGCCGACGCTGGATGTAACCTGTTGTTGGGAGGTGGGAGTGGAATGGAAGTGGATATGACAAGGGTTTGATGGCAGGAGGTGGGTAGTGGGCCACCAAGTGCTTGCCTCATTGAAGCCAGATTGAAACAAGTTAAATCACCTTCTCTCCCTTGTTTACATGCAATACCACATGCACAATAATGCATTTGGAACTCTCATTAGTACAGCTGGACATCACTGTTAATAAACATTATGGGCACCACAGATTACTTACTGGAACTTAATGCAACTTTCAGTTGAACATCCCAGAAAACTTTTGTAGACAACTTTTTGGAGCCAAATGGAATGTTCACTAGTCACATGTTTGGTATGGTTGTGTTTGTTATAACTGTGTTCTTATGTAAAAGACAATGACATTAAGAAACTTAAAAGGTAGACAGCCCACATGTAAAAATTGCGTGATTCCTTGTTGCCTTGTTGGGTGTTGCTCAGATTGCATTTGTATAGGGAACATGCTGTTTTCTTCAGCGCCCCTGAGGACTCAAAGCGAGCTAGGTGTATCATCACAGCAACCAAAACCTCCAAAGCCAAAAAACCTACAAGTGTCAAAGAAGAATATAAATGACTAAAATCTACTGACCAGTTTCTGCAGTCTTGACAGCTGTGTCAATCAGACCCTCTCTCCCACCCATGGCATGGAAGAACATCTCAGAGGGGGTCAGCCCAGCAAGGTAAGAATTCTCTACAAAGCCTCTGCTCTCGGGGCCATAGTCATCCTTGATGAAGTGGGGGAGTGTGCGGTGACGGAAACCAAAGGGGATACGCTTGCCTTCTACATTCTGCTGGCCTACACAGGCAATAACCTGCAGGGACAGGGTAAGGAGAACATGCAACAAAACATCAGCTATGAAAGCTTTGAGCAGACCTGAAATGGATGGAATCTTTACATTCACGTTGAATTTGTGACAGCTAGTGCTGTGAGTTTGGTAAAGGGCTGGGGAAATAGTGTCACAACGTGGCTGACTCATGTTCAGTATATGGGGCCATTAAGAGGTCACAGAGATGGGACCCAGAGGGTTTTGAGGAAGGTTCACAAGGTCATGAAAGGGCTATCAAAGTCATGACAGGCCCAAGAAGGTCATGAGGGATCATGAGGTCACGAAGAAGGGGGTATGGAGTTGAAGAAGGGGGTATGGAGTTGAAGAAGGGGGGTATGGAGTTGTAGTGGGGGATATGGAAATGGCGAGTCAAAATGGAGAGGGATGGAAGGTCACAGAAAGATCACGGAAAGGGGTTATGAGGACTCAGAAAGGCATCATGAGGTCATAGGGGTTCCAACTTTACCTGGGAGATGTTGATCTTGGAACCTTTGGAGCCAGCTACCACCATGCACTTGAAGTTGTTGAATTCAGACAAGCTCTTCTGGGCACTACCACCGGTCTTGTCACGGGCATTGTTCAGGATACGGTTCACCTTGGGCACAAAACATAGAGAGCACATGATAACCAAGTCTTGGTCAACATAATTAAGCCAACATTAGGTGGATTCATAAGAGAACCATTATTCACATCCATAGCCAACAAGAGGCAGAGACTCCAGTTGTTAACCCTTGCTCTTGGGGTGTAATATTTGGCCAGTCAGCTGGGTATGCTGGATGATACCAGTGCAGTAGAGAGGACTCATTTGCATTCCTTGCACCATGGCTGTTCATCCCTGTAGTAATGTCTTTGCAATAAGCACAAGACATTCTCTTTTATTGAATATCAAAGTGATTCAGAGGGTCTAATAGAGCACGACTGAAAGACGATCTGAAACAATCTAGTGCTTGGTTCATCAGTGCCTGGATGGATACTAATAAACTGTGAAGAAACTGCATCTGTAACTTGTCCACTCAGGAGAATCAAATATCTCTTTCCCATTACCTGATTCTCGAAAGTCTGTCTGAGTGTGTTGCCCGGTGTGGGCTCCAACTCATCATTGTGGGCCTTCTCAATGACATCTATGACTTCCTGTTTGGCTTTGCGGATCGTGTTCTGGATGTCATCATAGGTCTGTGCATCGGCAATACAGTCACCAATACCTTGAAAGCAAAAATGGCCCGCCATCTAAGAAATCACTCAATGTCCATCAACTACTATCAATAATTCACTAAACCGCCCGGTTTTAAACAATTAAGGCTGCCCTATGGGTATTTCTCTACATGTGAAAAAAAATGACAAATCCACAAATGTAGTTTTGCTGGAACAGCGGACGTCACGAATGTCTGAGGCGATTCTGAAATTACCTCCACACCTCCACCCCAATCTAAAGTAATTCACAACTTTCAGTGACATTTGTGAACAAAACAAAATCAACTTAATTTAAATGGCCATTTGGGAAATGGCCTGATTGACCACATCTTCAACAAGAAACATTGTGGTTTATTTATACAAGGTTTGAAGTTTGAAACAATCATGAAAAAACATGTTCAGTGATTCAGTCTGTTTTAACATCATGCACAATGAATTAACAGAGATGCCATTCAAACAGATATATTACTTAGCTTGTCACACTAGTGCACTGTAGTGAGTAATAACGTAAGACAACAACTGATGACCTGTCTGGCACATTAACTGTATCCATTTAATGTGAACATAGCTGATACTCCACCTCAACTACATTACAATCATTGTCCACACACGATGTCCACACCTCAGAGTCAACATGAACACTGTGAATATACTCACCGATACTGTGGCCTTCCAGAAGTAGCCAGTTGTTGACCACTGTCTGGATGTTGCCATAGAAGTCTCGGGTGACTTCATGACCCCGCTCCATGAAGATCACGTGACCCAGCGATCCCCCAGACGCACCGATGGTCTTCTTACAAACAATGCCTGAGATGAGCTCCCCATTGATGATCAGCACCTGTGGTGGGAAAAAGAAAACACATTGAATTTCAATTTAAGTTAAGAGTCTGCAGTTAGAAACAAATCTTTTAAAATATCTTATAGCCAGGTATCAACACTTCACTCCAGCTCAAAAAATGTCTAAATCCACTGACCATTATTACTAGATTATGTCATATGGGTAACCGTCATTTCAAATATACCCATATGGGAATGCATATGGGAACGCAAAGTGTTCTCAATCTATTCTCAGTAGAAACAGCTTAACATTCCCAATTACAGCAGGTGGTAAAGCTTGTAACAACCACCCTATCCAGTGGTGCTGGTGATGTTGTTTATTTGGTGATCAGTTCCATCATTGCACAAACAGAGCTAATATAGGTGGTATTCCAAATGAAATGTTGCCTGCATTCTGAGTTGAGAGATATCCCTTACCTTAGTGTCTCCAGGAGAGATCCATTTGTAAGGACCCCGGTCCTCCTCATCTGGGTGAGTGCTGTGAGCCTTGATCAGGTTGATGTTGGAAGGGATGATTAGCGACATCATCTGCTTGCCTGTCCACATGGGGCGGGGCTTGATGATGGCCGGTTGGGGGATGTGGCCGTCCCAGTTGGGCAACCACATCAGAAGGTTCATCAGCTCCTCCTAATAAAGAAAATATTCAGAGAACAGTGTCCATGCAAAGTCTTAATGTAGTCAATCACAAGTCAACCACAAGTCATCAAGTCTAGTGACTAGCTATTTAATTGACCTGTGGAAAAAAGGCTTCTTCATCTACTGTGGTCTGGTTATGACTGATTTGTGACTGACTCGATTGCAGCTCATGTTCCTTTCTTTGCTCAATAATGCTTTAGTGCTGTGGAATAAGGGAACATCCATTATACAATCACCTTCACATTTTTCCTACACGTGCTTCAGCCCTCAGAAAAAAATTGGAGTGGCAATGAATGCCATAGAAAGATCAGCGTTACAATCAGCAAACAGTTTTACATCATTGGGCTGCTGCACGTCCTGAGAGTGCATCTCTGCTAAATTAATATGGTTCCTCACGGTTTAACAAAAACCATCATTTTCTACTACTTTGCAAATACAGAAGCAGGAACAAATGAAATGAAGGAAATCACACCCTTCCTCCTCACCTTTTGTAGGAACACATCACGCTTGGTAAACTTCCTGACAGCTGTCAAGGAATCCTGCACAATACCCATGACAGGTCGGTTTGACTGCGGGGTTACCATCTGGCGGGGTACCATCATGATCTCAGTCACTTCAGCCCGCGTCTCCATGGACTGGGGCACATGCAGGTTCATTTCGTCACCGTCAAAGTCGGCATTGTAAGGAGTTGTGACACTGAGGGAGGGAAAAAATACATGCATAAATGTTGCAACATGTATTCACAAAATTGTGTGCTTGGGTCATGCAATCCACTCTCATTGGCTTTATAAGCTAACATCGATTTATCAAAGTATGCGTTATCATTGCAAGTATTTATCATTGCAAGTATTGGTACATAAAATGTTGACGATATTTACTACATTATGTCCAGTGAGCCGTTTTACAGCGACTGTTCAATCAGGAAATGACATCATATCATGGGTACCATGGTCTATTTCATTCTCTCTAGCAAATCTTTGTGCATGTGTTGCTCAGATTGCATTTGTATAGGGAACATGCTGTTTTCTTCAGCGCCCCTGAGGACTCAAAGCGAGCTAGGTGTATCATCACAGCAACACAAACCTCACCAAAGGCCATATTTACTAACCTTAATTTTACACATCTAGTTTTGATTTATTTTTTAAAAACATTTTAGTGCCATTTTTCGTTGTTTCACTTTTTCCCCCTATCTAACGGCCTCTTTTTAACTGACAACAAAGCAGTGCTGTAGTCGAGTCATCATAAGTCCATTCACAAGTCCTTTCATAAGTCCAGTCACAAGTAACGGGATGAACAATGACAGCTCCACAAAATTTACAAATGTTCGACATTAGCAGTTCAAATGTTTCCTCGACAACAATATTCACATTCTTACAACTGTTCATGAATTTGTTACTGTTATGTCTGAGGTTAGAATTTTAGACTTATTAAAATCTGAGCAACATTAAGTCTAAATACCTGAGGTTAAGACGAAACGTGGACCAGTGGAGAATTTTGACCCGGTGACCCATCATGGACATTTTGTGGAGAGTCGGCTGGCGGTTAAAGATGACCACGTCATCATCCCGAAGATGTCGCTCAACCTTAGAAAGGACAATTAATAAATACAATTTTTAACCAAATTTAGTTCAAGAATGATTCCATTCTTGTTGGCATTTAGAGCCAATCATTTTGCACTCATTTAGGATCACTGCTTTGCATCCATTTCAAAATGATGCTAAAAAAGGGGAAATACCAAAGTTTTTTATGGCGATGAAAAAAAGGTTGAAATTGAAATATGGTCTCTCAAGCAAAAGACATGTCAAGAAGTGTCAATTTCTACTCTCCGTTTTAATTAAATATAAGAGAATTAGTGAAGAAAACTAAGAGCACCCTCTATACAATGACAACAAATCTTTGCAACTTGCATTACGGATGATATTCTCATTCTGAAGAAATCTATCCTGGTCAAAATGAGTTATTATATTAAACCCCAACACTAACGAGTGTGTTATAAGGAAATACATCATTACAATTCTTTGAAACAATCAATCTGTGACAATCACATCTCATCAGCATCTCATCATGAACGGGAAATCTTAATGCCAATGCCTTTTGAATCCATACCAATCACAGAAAGTTCAAAGTGTATGTTTTATTATGCAGGAACTCGTGCATGAAAAATAGCACCCTCTACGTACAATTGAAGTGACTTCATTTTGCAGAACCAAGCAGACACATTGGTCTTCACTGGAGATTGAGAGGAACATATCAACTTAAATTAAAGAGAAGTTGTGGGATTTATACCTTGTAGCCACACTGCAAGTGCAAGTCACTTGTCTTTGGGTGGAATCTCAGGTCTACACGCTCACCGTTGTCTCGGATGATGTATTTAGCCCCTGGGTACTGGTTGTGACCCAATCGCACCAGCTCTTGGAGCCTGCAACACAACAAAACAATTGTTTCATTGACATTCTAATTGGCAATACCAGTCAACGACAAAAGCGAAGGAAAAAACTGCCCATGACCGACTCTTATTCATTACCACATTTGAACGTTTTATTCTTAAATCTCCTAAATACTAAACAAAAATTATCTTGGCTTGATTATTTAAAGGGAAAACCTGTGTCCTGCAGAACCCCAAAGTGTAATGTCTGTAATACAAAATGTGGAAATCGCCTGCAAAGCGGGCAACAGGTGGCAAAACTGCCTCCCCAGCGTAGCAGGCAAGGTGAAGCCTCTTTCCATATAAATAGGAAAGTATCATGCCTGACTTGACAGACTTTACGTTCCAATTTTACTGATATAAAAAAACCCCAACTGTGTTACTGCACAGCATCGGAATTCAATCAGAATCATAAGGAGTCAGCATAATTCCTCATCAAACAAGAGTTACGATTCATATACAAGTGTGGGTAATTGAAATAAAAAACTAAAAAACGACCACTAAAAAAACTTCTCCTTCAAAGTTGTATTCAATAATTTCAACAAATATTGTGCTAAAGCTTACTTGTCAATGTTGAAGGGTGTGACGATCTCTGGGTAGGTCAGATTCTGAGCAATAGTCCTGGGCACTCCAACTTGGTCGATGGACAGATTAGGATCTGGGGTGATCACAGCACGGGCTGAGAAGTCTACACGCTTACCCATCAGGTTGCCACGAATACGACCCTCTTTGCTTTTCAGTCGCTGCTTGACTGATTTGAGGGGCCGCCCGGACTTCTGCATGGCCTATTTTATCGAAAACAAAAAATTAAAGTCAAATTTCTCTTAACAATGAGAAGCTCAATAGCTGGCATAACACCACAAAAAAAAATTGACTGAAGCAGGATTTTACCTGCGGATCACTAATATCCATACAGGCAAAGAAGCAACTGAGCTTTTAGCACTTTGTCGGTTGTCTCTCAAAAGTGTCAATACCTATGTTTAAGAGGTGCATATCACAAGCAACCTGTATATATTATGCCATGTGGCCTGGGATAATACTTAAAAGCACAACGCTGCATTTAACTGACTTACCCAGTGAACCAAGGTCAGATTCACACTGTGAGTCATTTATTTTTCAAAATGCTGATTATAAGGCAATTGCAAATGTATGGTTCCAGTTCTGAAGAATCCAGTCTTAACAATAACCTCTCAGAACAAAAATGGGAGAGACAAGGATTGCCAAGGAGTGATCTTGTTAGAATCAGCAAACGTACCCTAGGCAATCCTGGTAGCTCATTGTCAGAGAGTGTAGCCACATGGAACTGTAGCATCCTTGTGTCTTCAGCTATGATATGGGCAGCAGCACCATTCTGTTCATTCTTCTGGAGTTGATTGTTGGCCTTGATGATGTCCGCCAACTTGTGTGTCAGATCGTCCTGATATTTTTAAGAGGGAGGGGTAAAAACAGAACAATGAATGTTGCTTTGAACTGTCAATTGACAGCAGAATCATGCCAAAAGTATGTGAACATTTACATAAATCTTTTTTGATGGTCTGACATGTATGTATGAAAAGACTGATAAGACAGAAACAGTATCAAATTTTGATTAACCCTTACCCTACTAGACCCTCCAACGCATGCCAATATGTGCCTCAAGAAAATCTCCTATGTTTTTTGCATGGCCCTCCAATATCTGCCATGTCATTTCAAGGGTAACTGGACAGGCACTCCAATACATGCCACAGAGAACAATGAGAGTCCTCTGATAACAAAGTGAGTGCCCCCAGCTGGTCAGTATCAGGCACCCTCCAGGGCCTCCAACTCCTGCCAATTGGAGCCTTCACTGTCAAGATAGTTTATCTGCCAAAAAACTGCAGCTGGAGGGCATTGGCATAACCAACTGACATGCAGTAAACTACCCTCAGAGAGTAAGGGTTAATGTGCAAAATTGTGTGAACTTCTGCAATAATACTGGTTTATGTTGTATAGCGATTTTAGTTGTAAAGAATTATAAACTCAAAATGCTGTTTATTGGCTGAGAATCCTCCTAAATCTACCTAATTCTAGTACTGCGCAAGGACCCCCATGGTACATCCTTTTGTTTGTGGTATCACACTGAAGGACAATAGTAAATTAATAGTTGGGTACTATCTTCCTTTCTCCAAGTTCAGCTGGTGGATTTTGAATGGTATGGGAGGCTTGCTGTATAAAACAAAAACTGCATACCAGGGAAAAGTCCACCATTTAAGTTATTTTCTTTTTTTTGCCACTACGGGGATCCCTGATAAAACCAATAAGAACTGTTTGCATGTACCTGATTTCTAGCTGAGCCAAACATGACTACAGCCGGCCTGACACAGAGCGGTGGGACAGGCATGACTGTGATGATTATCCAGTCTGGCCGGGTGAACTTGGGGTCCATCCCAAGGATCAAGCTCTCCTCATCTGAGATGCGCTTGAAGATCTCATGGACACGTTCAGCTGTCAAGGCAATCTTGCGCTCCTGCGTGTCCTCATTGACATGCTTCCACTCTGCTGTCAGGTCCAGTCCAGCCCGGCGGATCTGGGGCTGGTACCTTCCACAGCCACCATGACCCTAGGCAAGAAATTACAATTGGGGGGACAAATACCATGAAAATGCTCTACAACAATAATACTGGTTATTTGTATTAAGAGCCCTACCTGATTTCAATAGGTCATACCATTGCTAATGTTGCTTGTATCAAGACTTTGTGGCCACATCACTAGTTACATGGCACATAGAAGTTTATGGCATCTGATTTGTATCACTTGATGAACTACATGTAAAACTGCCAAACTATAGGATATGAATAGCTTAGTTAGCAAGGCTCCAATATGGTAAGGCTTCAGAGCATTGCAGGTTCAAGTCATTTCTTTAATCAAACCATATGTATTCAATAATTTTATTCAATACTAAGAATGAACAAATACCCTACAGTTGGTTTGGGATGTATTTTCAGACTTATATTCACAAGGCCCTGTTGTCCCTTTGGGACTTCAGAAGGATCTTACATTATTTTCAAAGAAATCTGCCACCTGGTTGTTGAGCACGTTGGATTTTATGAGTCTGACGGTGGCAAGGCATGTATGGGTGATATAAATGTTGATATGTTATTTGCATTGGGGTTTGTACCTGATTTCTAGGTTCTGGTGCTTCCCCCTCTCGTTTGGCTAAGTCGGCATTGAAAGTCTGGTCCATCTCCTCTCCGCCCTCACAGATCTTCTTGGTCCGGCAAACATCGTAGATGTGGGCTAGGCGCTTGCGAGGGAAACCCTTGGACTTACTCAGGATCTCTTTGACTTTGGGGTGGTTCTGGAAATCATGCAGTAGTGAAAAAAGCTCCATTTTGAACTGAGGTAGAACACAGAATCCCACACCTCCTACATTTTTCCAATTCACCAGCATTGACTTTCTCTTCATGCCAGTCCTCAATGTGTAGTGCATATTTTGACACTTTTTTGGGAGGAGGGGGGTATTTACATTGGACAAACCATTCTCATAAAATGTCAAATTTTCAAAAACGGTTGTTCGTTTTCCAGGAAAATATATATGCACAGAAATCAATGTCAATTCTCAAATCAACATGTGATATACGGTAAGCACTGATAATTACCAAGGCTTTGTCTATTTGTATTAAAATTCTGTCTCTTTAATACGAATGTTGTTACATGCACACTAAATTTCAATTAAATATGTCACAACATACATGTAGTATGACCTACATGTATGTCTATTCAATGCCATTTCTAAGCAAAGAAACTTGCTCAGCATGAGACAGGAAATATTTACTGTGCAAAAACAGGTTATAAGCCAAAATGTAATGCAATTCATGCAGCTTATGACATGTGCTTATGACAGGTGGTCAGCACGTCATTCATTTGCTGGGCAGTTTTTCCTACTCAGCAACTCCATGATATCTTTCCATGCAGTTGTTAGCAGTATTTTGCATATTCTCCCCTGTGGTATATTCTCCCCTGTGTGTACACAGAGGGCCCCCTCCTCTTGTTTCTCACCTGGTCCACCAACATTTTGGAACAGAAGAAGCAAACGCAGCGCAGGATCTTGACAGTCTTCGTCAGGAAGCCTGGGTGGAATACAGGCTTGGCAAGCTCAATGTGGGCAAAGTGGCCTGGGCAGTCCACCTGGTTGCAGGCGCAGGTCTGACAGCGAGAGGCGCGGTCCACGCAACCCTGACGAGGGTCCATCAGACCACCCAGCTTGGGCTTGCCACCTTCCATGACCTCAGCATACTTGATGCCACCCTCTACCACCGACATGCGACGCTGAAAGTGGAGAGTGAATTCTGTGTAACAATCTTTAGGTCTACAATTCAGACTATTCTGAGCAACTTATGAATGAATCTATACTGAACAAAATTCTTTAAAACTGAACAATCCTTGTTGCATTGCTCCATCATTATCAGGGTTCTCCCCACACACATATGTATCTCTGCCCACTACGTAAGAATTTCTGATTGACTTTCAGATCCTCATAGTCATATGGTGGTCATGCTATTTAGCTTCAACATTTGTCAACAAACATGATCAGTATCAACAAGATCAAAATGCACTCTTCAACTTCAAAAAAGTTATCGTCATTATTCAATAGACTCTTACAGGTCATATGAATGTAAGTTAGGCCAAACAAAAAAAATGGTGTGTTTGCGGTAACGGCCTGAAAAAAATCCAGGTAGGTAGGTAGGAAAATAATTTTATTTCGTAGGGTTTTTTTTTTCATTTCAGTTCTGCATGCCCATGCGTGTTCTTTCGCAAAAAAATTGTATAAAACCACTATTCAAGCATTGAAGATATTCAATCGATACATTTCAATCCAAATTAATTTGTATCGTCGGCCAGGGTTCTCCCCAGGATTTTTTCAAACATGTGGGGAAGATTTGCTGTGATTCAACAACCCGAAAATGTTTGAACTTTAGAAGCTCTCTGGTGCATTTTAGAGCAAATCTGGGGGTCTTTATCTTAAGATTTGTCCTTGAAATTCAGAGGAGATCTTGTAGGTCACTAATATTTTTGTAATTAAAGAAAAAAAATCAAAATTGTTAACTTAGAAAAAATTAACATTTCACAACCTGTGTTTCATTGCTTCCTAACTAGAAAAGTATGATTTACATTAACATGTAAGTTTCAAATTAAGAAATTAACCCTAACTCCCTAGGCCTTTTTGCTAGGATGTAGCCTCAATCCTGCAAAATCCTCCAATTGGCCCCATGGAAAAATAGCATATAGCCTCAATCCTGCAAATTCCTCCGTTATTTCTTGAATATGGTCCATGGAGGGGTGACCACTGCCTGAATCCTGCAAAATCCTCCGGCTATGACTGTCAATAGGCTGAGGCAGAGGCAGTGACATCCTGGAGCAGTACGGAGGTTGTCAAGTATAATCAAGGACTAAATTTATGCACGGATGAGCATAAACAACACAAGGTCCGGCCCAAGACCTTGACACAGTGTGTACTCCGAAATCAGCAACGCACTTTTGCCATGTAACCTCAATCCTGCAAATTCCTCCAATTTGCAAAAAGGATTTTGGAGGATTCAGGGCGGTTAGGGTTAAGGTGGAGAAAAAAACAACTTTTGCTTCCGATTACATGCCTTTCAAAATAGCGTCAGTAGGTCGGAAAATTATTTCGCCAATTTTCTTGGGGTGCTGATTAATGGAGCATCATTCGTACTAAAGAGCAAGGAATCATGTTTATTTTGTGCCTGGATTATTTTCATTTGCGCCACGAACGTTATCAAGACTGGCTATCAAACGTGATTAAAACTTGCCTCACCTAAATAAAAATATATTTGAGGTCGGTGATTCCACTTCATGCTTAACATACATCACGGCCGCTGGCACCGCCAACATTCCGCCTGGCTGGCCGAACATCGCGCCGAACTCACGGCCCACGTGGCCGAAAATCTTGCACTACTGCAGAAACACGCTACGATGTTTCGCCACAAGTTCGAGCTTTGCAATCTCGTCATTTTAATGGAAAACACATCCACAGAAAGTAAAGATCACGTTCTGTGAATTAATTCGCAGAAATTCTCTTTCTCCAGCGATGTTTATTTGGTAATATTTTTACGATCCAACTTCGGCCCACTACATCATCATGCTGTATGCATGATACGAAGTATGGACCGGAGAGAGGCAGTAGTCACTGGTTCCGGTCCTTCATCATAGCATTGATTCCGTTAGCTGGCGAAGGGAACAAGTGTACCATGCTGTATGTTAGCTGGGTGCTGCTGGTGGTCGACAGAACACGTCATCGTGTGCATTTTGATCACACATGCATCAGAAAAACAGGATTTTGGTCAAGATTTTGCATGTCAAGATGAAATAATGGCGTATGTAACGATCAAATTGTGCATTTTAATGGCGTGTATAATAATTATATTGTGCGTATCAGGGGCTAAAAAATGTGACCGCCATTTTTTTGTCGGCGTATCGGGCCGGCCGCAATTCCAGCGTATCAGGCCGATACGCAGTACGCACGTTTGTACGTGGGGAGCTAGAACCATGCTGTCCGTCGGCCAGCCAGGCGTACCCCGATGCGTTTGTGCAAAAATAATCGTACTTCGTAGTTTGAGAATTCAAGTTTTGAGATCGTCGCGATTTTCGCACGTTTAATACAGTTTTGAGATCGTCGCGATTTTCGCACGTTTAACACAGGTATGTTTGTGTCAAATCATGGTCAGATTCAAGTGTGGAAAATGTTTTTTGTTCGTGGCAAATAATTAAAAGTACTTGAAATGTTTGAAATTTGTCAATTATCAACCTTCAAAATGGCAATAAAAAGTTTGAGGTCGGCAATTTGGCCGAAAAAATTCCAGGTCGGTCGGGTTACCGTAAACACACAATTTTTTTTGTTTGGCCTTAAGGGAATTGACATTCACAATCCCACATAAACATGCGTAGTGCGAACACACAAACGTTTACAAATTGCATTCTTCCTTCAGTATCTGATCTATTAGTGGCTATCGTTGCGGCAGCCGTAAAAATGATTTTAAACTGCTACATGTATGCCTATCGTTACGGTGCTGCAAAACCCATTGCGAATCTATATTACATAAACCTATCCCTCCAACCAGAACCCTACATGTTTGACTACCGTGCCAGGGATAGGGATTCGAAACAACTACCACGCTGTTTTTTGGGTTTTTTTACTCCTAGGATTTTGGTCTGTCGTAGTCATACTAGTGCCCCACTAGGAACGCAATCTCAATTTTAGAATTCTCAGCGTTCACCACAAAAGTTGCCAAAATCATGCAAAACACTTGACCTCTGAAAATACCTCTGAAAGCACCTACTAGCTCCACATGTAAAAGACGATGTAATGGGGCTTCAATGATACTCAAGATTATTTTTGGGGTTACAAATCCATGAAATTCAACTAGTATAGCACAGATATCATACAGCGATCATTCAATAACGTTGATGGCTGTGATCTACCAACGCATTGTCTATGGACGTACATACAAACATGTACGCTAAGCGCAGTGATACGGCCATGACCTGCTGTCGATAAAGAATCGGGCATGCACCAATGACTGTTTCATGACAAGGTGCGGTACAAGAGTACGCCTGCCCGCACAACGACTTGACAGCACGAGCGGTCTCTTGCCGCTATCATGATCAATGAAAAAAAATCCCCCCACAAAATTAATTATTAAGCAATATATTCGTTGTTTAAGTTCCTGTTCAATTGGCCATGATCTATGCAACATGATCCAGCCCCGTCCAATTAGAGTGTACAGCATATGGCCACTGTCCATTCGTCATGCGTGCATGCCAAGGTACATGATATTGATATACAGTGGTGCAGTGATTGACTTGTCATGAAACAGTCGTTGGTGCATCCCCCTGATCTGCACATGGAGTTTGTTTATTAACAGCTGGTCACAGTCGTGTCCCTGTGCTTTGCATGTTTGCATGTACATGTACATGTACGTCCATAGACAATGTGTTAGACCACAGCAATCAACGTTTCGCTGTATGATGTCTGTGCTACACATTGGCACTTTACTAGTTATATTTCACGGATTTGCAACCCCAAAAATAATCAGGAGTAGGCCTATCAATGAAGCCCATTACTTCATCTTTGACAAATGGAGAAGAGTAGATGCTTTCAAAGGTATTTTTGTCAAGTATTTTGCGTGATTTTTGGCAACTTTTGTGGTGAACACTGAGAATTCTAAAACTGAGATTGTGTTCTATTCCTAGTGGGGCGCAAGTACTACGACAGAGTTAATAAATCCCAAACGTCAGAAAAGGAGTTCTACTTGTAAGTTCTAGTGCCCCACTTAGTGGGTCTAGGTTAGGCCTAGAATTCATCTTCTTCTTCGTAATCCGTGGCATTGCCTTAACGGGATTTTTTTATTTTGAAAGGGAAATAAAGTCAGACATGTCAGAAAGATTCCCATATCTGGCCATCACTTTTTACCCTGTGCACAAACCGTACGAGACTGGTTAGTCCCATAAATGTGACGGAAATACTGGACTACCTCCGTATTAACGTCACACATCCCACATGTGGTCTGTGCACGGACAGTCCGTTGCTAGGGGAGCCGGAAATCAATTTGAAATTGCAAATATTTTGTCACTTTACACTCACACAATGCCATCTACAACTGCTTAATAGCAGCAAAACGTTAAATTCTGCACCTTCATAGGTCTGGTTATCTGGTTATGAACAATGGCAGCCGAAAGTCGTCCGAATTCAACTCGAAATTACAATAGAAAGTTTCCAGTGTTCGTACAGTCATGCAGGCCTGCGTAGCTTTGGCTGTGCTTTCGCATCAGATTGATAACATTATGTAATTAGAGCCAATTATAGTAATTAATAAGGTTGTGACTTTTTGAACATGAGAACAAGTAAGGCGCTTTCTCTTAAACATTATGGGAATATTTAATAATGTGTACCTCGTATATCTTGTTAGGAGCACACAAGTTTGCTAATTTTAATTGATTAATATGCAAATAAGATGCAGGACTAATTAACTATTTTGATTTTACGAGCCCAGAAGACAGCTTGGCATATGTTGATTATATTCTGAAAGTTTCATGTGCATGCAATAAATATATTTAAACTAAGTTATAAGCCAATAAGTGCTTCTTCATGTGAATTCCACGGTGCTGTCCTTAAAACAAAGAAAATAAAAAAATTGACCTTTGACATTCAACTCATTTGTCATTGACAAAAAGTGAAACAAAAATGTCCGTATCTCTGCAAGGGAAGGTGCCATTTCAAAAATTTAAAAAGGTTTTTAATGCCTTTGACCTGCCCTTTCATCCTGTAAACATTTCAAAAACAAAAGAGCAAGAACAAATTTTCAGCTTAAGTGCCTAGCATGACACCGACCATGTCGACAACCGTGACAACACATGAGCCGGCCAATGATCGTGCAATACGTCATTATGAATATTCAATTTCTCATGAATATTTAGTTTATTTCAATGGATTCTTCAAATACTTCAAAGATTATTCAAATGCAATGTGATAGATCGTGCACGTGGTCTAGTGGTAAAACTCTCGTCTTTCAAGCAAGTGTCCGAGGTTCGATTCTCAATGAAGTGACTGACTACTCCTAGAACTATGGATGAAGAACCCCGCAAAATTGTTTTCAGCACAAAACACTAATTAAGTACAAAATCATCCATCAAAATGCAGACATTTCCCACAGAACCGCTGCACAGTTTGCCCCCAACCTCATGACATACTCACGTAATATGCGCAGAACAAACATCGCTGGATTTTGTCGTTTTTTTGGCCAAAATGATGAAAATATGCCCTATCCGCACTGAGCCAACCTGACACTTGAAACGTGCACGCATATGATCCAGCGATGATTTTTGGAGCGCGCCGCAGCCGCGGGGGGTACGGTACAAGCGAAATGATAGTATGCGCATGCGTACAAGTGCAAGACTTGACTGATTGAATAATAAATAAATAGGAAAGGAAACATGGGAAAGGAGAGGGTGCGAGTAGAGAAGGGAAAGTGGAGGAAATAACCATAAAAGAAGGATGCAACTTTTTGGCACTTTAAAAAAAGTGGCGGCCCAGTATGGAATCTTTCCAAAATTAGTGATGGCCAGACATCGGAATCTTTCCGTATCGTCTGAGAGTGAGAACCATTCGGTTAAAGGGAATATACATCATTGGCTTTTGCTATAATTTTCAGAAATGAACTATTTGAGAGGCTAGTATAATAGATCAAATATTGTTACACTGACATTTTTGAAGTTCTGTGTTCGAAAAGGTTGGGAAAAACCAAGAAAAACAAAAATGTTCAAGTAGTCTGGCTCCCTGACTCCACAAAAGATAAAATGGATCAATTTATAGATGATGGAAAATTGGGGAACCAGTCTAGCTGGCCTGCACCCGTTCATGAACATGTAACCAATAGCAAACACAATTTGGACTGAAAAAATGGTAAATTTGGAGCAGTAGTTGAAAAATAGTTAGGTTTTTCCAACGCTGGTCGGCCGACCACCGTTGGAAATGTTTACAAAAATACCATTTTCTTGAAAATGACTTCACACCAGGTGCCATAATTTTACAAGATGCTTGATACTGTCATTTACCAACATCCTAGTAAGGTATTTCGTAAAAACTTGGTAGTTTTATTTTTCGAGTTTGCAAATGTTGTATATTCCCTTTAAATGAATGATTGACTTTTTTTATAATTGCAATACTCTAAAAGTTCATGACATTTACTCTCTTCAGCTGGGCTCCTTCATGCATCAACTTAACACTAACAGTTTACCCAATTCGATTTGTTCTATGTTTTCAAAAAATTATGATACGCACCATTATTTTACAAGACAGTTTAACCCTAACGTCCTAGCCATTACTCTGGGATAAAGAACTGAGTACTACAGAATACTACAAACATTATGTGTGCAGGCACCACATACCAAAAACTACTATGTGTTTTGTGCCCACTTACTTGCTGAAGTACTGCACACTACTGTTTACTACTAGTAGTATTTTGTAGCTTTAGGTGCGGTTAGGGTTATGAATTTCATCGGTCTCACACACACGTACTGCAGTCTCTAGCATGTGTCTAGCTGTCTAGGGCAACTGTAAACATGGTAAAGCATGAGGGTCCTAAGCTGTGGAGCTCGGTTGATTTTTCCCTAAAAAATATCTCCAGTCTCTCGCTCTTTAAGCACAAATACAAAAAAAAATTATTGGCAAAATATTTTTAAGTACTTAATTGTTTCTCTTCTTTTTTTTTCCTTTCTTTTCTTCACGGGGTTGCATGTTATTCCCATATTCATGTCGGGTGTTATGTCCTTATGTGTTGTTTGTGTGTGTAACTTGTATATTTTTGAATGATTGTAACTGGGGATCTCTACTCGACAAGCATTGCTTTTTAGGGATCCCCATCCACATATTTTGTATATATTTAACTCTGTCTTTTTTTTATGTGGAAAATAAAGTGAATTGAATTGAAATTGAATTGAATTGTCTGGTTCCAATAGCAAGAGGCCTGACGTTGAATACTGATTCAATCTGGGAACCAGACTGTTCCGTAGCCGTATACGCGTAGGGACATGAAGGCATAGCAATTCAAAATCGCGTTAGCTGCCGTGAATAACATGAATGATATTGATACTTTTTGATAGCCACTGCACTTAGGATTAATAAGATATAATATTCAAGACAAAGCCAAAGGCCTACCATTTCCTGGGGGCTGAGGACACCAAACTGCACGCGTCTGACATCCCGCATCGGGGCTTTGGAGTCGTGAAACTGAAGCGCCATTATGGTGCGATACAGTCAGTAGCAGCCTACGTAATCATATATGACACGCACTCAATCTGTGGCGCAATTCCTTTTTTGTCCTCGACAGCAGTGTCGAAAAAAGGTGGATTTTTACACGCTACGAGGAGTCCCAAATCACTCCAAACTCGACTTCATTTTTGGCTATACGATCTGAACTGTCAATTTTATCATTATTTGAACTACTCGATGTGGAGTTTTAGGAATCTTTTGACGAAATGCATGCCTTACGAACACCTTCCTCCTTCCGCAGTCGAACTGAGAAGATCGACAAAAGCTGATGTGCAACTTTCCCGTATTTATAGTATTTCGTGTTGTACGGGTTTCCCTAACTAAAAAAGAGGGCCAAAATGATGAGGGCGCTATTTTTTGGCCTATTTATCAAAGACAGCCTTTACCCACATTTGGCTATGGCTTTGGATGGTTGACGCCACAAGACTAGACGTTCACGCTCCTCGACCGTAGCCGTATAAACGGCTTCATGTCGCTGACAATGATCATGATGCAATACAATGCAAGTGATGAGCTGGGGTATCAGGCGCAGGCCTAGCCTGTACCCCGAGGTTAAATTTAAAAACAAAATTATAATATCCAAATTATAATCCTAACTTGTGCTATATTTCTTATCATAAATCCATTATCAAACAGTTTCAGTTGAGATCAATTTCAAGTGGGGATTAATTTCCAAAAACAAAATGTTCAACATTTACACACGTATCCAATGGCTAGGCTTTCCAAAACTATACATTTTTATAAACGCCTCACCAACAGATTCTGTGTCTTGATTGGCCGAGAGCGAGTCACGTTACTTTCTAATTTTGCTATCTTTCTGTGCACGGCCAAAAGTATACCCGTATCAACCAAAGTACTTTATATATTCCGACATACAGATCCTTGTCATTTGATAAGTGGAACTCACAACACATGGCATTCGTTATTGCTCCCATTCATGCCGCGGCTCAAAAAAGTACTATCCGCCCATGGGGAATGGGAAATATTATTATAACACCTCACCCACAGATTCTGTGTCTTGATTGGCCGAGAGCAAGTCACATGATACTTTCTATTTTTGCTATCTTTCTGTACACGGCCAAAAGAACTATGCCCATAGCAACCAAAGTACTATACCATTAGCAACCAAAGTACTATTTCCACGGCGCGGTATTTGTGTGCAAATGCATGCTGGTGTGCGCGTTGCGCATTGTGCGTAGCGCGTTTTGTTCCAAAGAGAGCGCGCCACAGAGTTGGGTTCAAACATTTCGTGAAGGGGTAGTTTGGAAGAGAGAAATACATTTTCCACCAATTTTGTATTGAAATTGAAGTTTATTTCAACTGTGTTCAGATTTAAATAATTTAAAATCTTAAAACCAAGCAGAATCTGTGGGTGAAGTGTAATAAAACAAATATTGAATGCTTTATCTCGTGGTATGGTGAGGTAAAACTAGCCTCCCTCGGTGATCCATGGAGCATTCTATTTTCCCTCGGCTTCACCTCGTGAGGCTAGTTTTACTACCCCACTCGAAGCATTCAATATTTGTATACTATTCAACAGTTAGGATCATAGTTTGACCAGCTTGACTAGACTTGTCAAGTCTTCTAGAGATAAAGTTTGCGTAATCCTAAAAACAATCCTCACAAAAGTGTTTGGGGGTTAGAACACACCGTTTGAAAAATCTATTCAAATATTCAAAATTCATTCAATTTAGCTCCTTTATCTTCATTATCTAGTCACAATTAAGTACATCATGATCAATGTAATAAATTATTACAGTATCGAGGAAACACTATACATGTAAGTAAACTTTGATGTCATAACATTAACATTCCTTTAAATAATTTTCAACACTGATACAGTGCCAAAATGAAAAAAAGGTATGTGTTTATGAATTCCTTCCAATTTTTCAGTGGTGATTCTGTATTGATTAATCAATGTGCAGTATGTTTTTTTATTCTTCATTGCCTGACCTACAAGTAAATATTTTTCAAATGTGTATTTCAAACACTGATTTTTTAAGTGAATAGATAAGTACTGCCATTAAGACATATAATAATAGAGCAAACATGTTATATAATAAATGTTATACTTAAATATGTATAATTTAACATTTACTTAAGGTTTTAAAGAGGTGGGCATGATTAATTGAAACAAAAATATAAGTTAGTTGGAAAACCAACATTCTTTTTCCCCATAAACTTAAATGCTTAGAGAATTAAATGTACAGGTTATATTTAGCTTTCTTCTTAAACGTATATATTCCAATCAGTATTCCTTAATCTTTCGTACCACAGAAATTGGTCTCAGTAATGCTGCATTTCCCCAGGCTCACAATTAATGAAAGTTTAGTTTCCACTTTTGATAATCATGCATTTTAAGAGAATATTTTCATAATCCTTCTATGCTCAGCAAACTTGTGTGCTAAGTAACCTCATGGAATTGGTCCACATTAGTAAATACCTGAAACAAACCTACCAATGTAAACCTTGCACAAAGTGAAGATAGGACTAGTACCACATACCCTGTGAAATTAGTCCATTTGAAATGAAGGATCATTGAAGGTGGTTTTAAGACAGTGAGCCCACAGGCACATTTGTTTTTGTAATGTGATGATTTACAAATTGCCCATGCAGTGGGTCCACAACGTCACATACACCGAATGAATGAGAATCATGTCCCAAGAACTATTTAGGGGTTGTACACGAGAGGCTAGAATTCAAAATATCAAACAACATCTTTTGAATTGGAAGCGCTTTCAATAGAATCCTCTTTCAAGACGCAACATTGTGTATAAGTTTTCTCAAAATGTACAGAATCCAGTGAGCTAAAACTTCAACAGGTTAGCTGCTATATGCATCCTAAGATTTTAAACAATTTTGTTGCATCCAAAAAGAATGCTCTTATACGTAAATACAAACTGTGTTGTTTTTCAACAAAAAAAACATTTCAGATGATCCATGTTTTTGACAAATGCACAATATTACCAAAAAACCTTCAACTCAAACATGCAAACCAAAGTGCACTTCTGCAATATATCAGGCTCTCAATAAAAGTTTTTAAATTCCTCAAACACTGAAGAAAGAGTAACAAAAGATGGCAGCATGAGCCAGGGTGTCAATAGATATGACCATGAATATTCAATACAAATTCAAGATGAATACATTATTTCTAAGTAAAATAGCCAAAAATAGCTGTATTTAAAACATTTGACTAACTATTTGAAATTCCAATTTAAAACAAATTGCTAATGCTGAATACAAATTTAGATAAAGCGCTATATAAGCACCACATTGTTATTACAAAAGAAATCAGATAAATAAAAAAAAAATAATCTTAGAACTGAACAACATCAGCAACATGACATGAAACTAATATGAGCAAGGCTGTTGGATAAATATATATACCTAAGCACAAAATGAATACTTTTGTCACCCAAAATCATCTACACACAGCACAAATACCTTTTGGTTTCTTTTAGTTTCCTTTCAAAACGTTTTATGCATCACTGTTTATTAACACTATGTTAAAGTTTACAGTAAACCACAATTACAAGCTGCACATACTGTACATGATGTGAAAAGTAAGTAAATGTATACACACATGGTAAGTGACTGGATGTGAACCCCTGACCCTCCAATCAGGGGTAAGAAACCCCTACCAGCGCAGCCTCTGTCTCTACCTAACTGCCCAAGGGAGCCATAAAGCAGAGTATTTTACACAGTTTACACTTCAAAGTTGTTTGGTTATTATGAAGCAATATTTTCACATTCAATGAGTGGAGATGAAACAAATAACGAACAAAACAAACAACAGCACCATGTTATATGACATAATTTGAACATTTAAGCCACTATATACAATGCAAATTAATATTTAAGTTTTATTGTTTTTATAATTGAGATGCCATTTGTCACAACACGTTATTATAATTTTTCTTTGTTCACACAATTATTTCTGCTGCCATCTCAGGTTTAGCCTTCAGTGGCCTTGGTGCCACCATTTCTAACATTAACCTTCATTAATCTGGAGAGGATGATGCCTTATCCTCTTTCTTGTGGCTATGTGTAGATTTCCAACAGTTATTAAAACAAGCATAACAGTGTGTCTAACTCATGATCGGATCCACCACTGTCAACATGCCAATCCTATTTTCAAAAATGTCTCGATCCCTACATTTTTCAAAATGAAGATCCTTGTCAATAGCCAAAAATCCTGTACTTAAGGACCTACACTTGTAAATTGCGTAGAACTTTCGATTTGGTCTACAACCAAACATCCCCTAATCTAGGACATCAAGTGTAGCTTTCAAGTTATGTGGTGTGATAATGAACACTTTCATTTTGATAACATGACCTGTTGTCCATGGCGCCCACCACTTACTAAGATGTTGCTTTATCTTTTTAATTATTAAACAAAAGTGACTCTTCAACAGCATGGAAAATACATATGCTCAATAGAAATCAAATTGTGTAAAATTATTTTTGTAAATAAAACTGTGTTGTGGCAATCTTGATTTTAAAAATTCTCCTCATTAGCTGACACCAACGACTTTTTGAGTAATTGTATTTGTGACCTTCTTTTTTTTAAATTATTTGGAAAATGTAGGTAAAGCTTCTTGCTATCCATAAACGCAGAGCTGGAACTTCTATTGTTATGCATTGAGCTTATGCATTTGGACTTTTCTCTGTAAATCTACACTCAACAGGTGAGCCAATGTATTTGATTGATTGCAAGTGTTTTCAACTTAACACAAGAGAACTGAACTATTCAGATGAGCTCAAATGAGCTCATTTAAAATATCTCAACCTGTATGAACTCATTTCAGATTAGGGCACAAAAGCATTTTTGCTTCACCCAAGCCTAAATATTGTCATTTGTGTAATAATATGAGACTTAATGAACCTGTTATACTGTATTTCAACTTATTACAAACACTGTACATTTCCTTTTCCAAGGACAGTATTGAAATAAATGAACTTAAACAAAACAAGAATATCTGTACATGCGACAAGTTTTATGCTTCTACCACAAAGTGCATGAAATTTGCATGCTGGACTACGCACATCACAAGAATGATTTTAGTTCAATTTGACCCACTAGTCCTCAAAATGCCTGAAATCATTCTGCTGTTTACTTCCCAAATGTCCATGATTTGAAACACACGACAACTGTGGGTTTTAAGCAATTTCTACCATAAGCTAAATATATAATCTTTTGAAAAACTTAATTATGTATAATTTGCAGGAGTGTTTTTTAGGGAAAAAATGACTTACATGTAATTTACACATTAATGTTTAAATTATGCAATTACCAGGAGATGTCCATAGACTAATAGTTTGGAGAGAAGCTGTGGATATCATCCGCTGTTGATGATGCGTTCAAACAGACTGAGAGGATCTGCATCCACATTAAGGGTCAACCAGCTATGGTCAAGTACTGCTCTCAAGAGGTCACCCACTGTCCACTGTCTGGAGGTGATCTCACTGACCACACGCTGTAGCTGCAAGTGGGGAAAAAAGTGATTGAAAAGTAGCATAATAATTGTAGGGCTGTATGCATACAAATGTAACAAAACTTATTCCCGGCTACATGCACAAGAAGCTAAATTATTAATAATCTGAGCATAAATAGTGGAATGGCTGGAAGGAACCCACTATGTAGAGACAGAACCAAAGCATATACATGAAAGACACATACAGAAATACTAGATTTTTAAGAACACCATGGTATTTTCCAATTTAAATTCTTTTTAATATTCTTCATACTGATGATATTATAGGTAACAAAATGTGCAAAATGAAACAGTAGATAAGTATTGTTCACTTACTTATTTTAAAATCAATACTAAATGTCAACAAAGCAGAGAAGCCAAAGGCAGATCATTGCAGTGATTAGCTTCCTGTCTGAGCAGGGGTTACCCTTCTCTGGTGGCACTGAAATCCTAGGCTGCCCTAGAAATGGAAACTACCTCGGCTGTCTAGAAATGTTAGCGGAGTTCAACCCCTTTCTATCCGAGTATCTCCATAGACATGAAAATCCTGCTAAGGTAACGTCTCCTACACGTACGTTATCTTTCCTCGACCAAATGCCACAGGTTCAATGAAATTCTGGCAGCAAAGGTGACATCTGAAATAGTGTCTGAAATCAAGGATGCCAAATATTATGGGATCAGTATTGATCCTGCACCCGACATGGCTGATGTTGACCAGTAACCTGTAATATTCTGATAAGCCACTCAGATGGAACTGTGACTAAAAGATTCTTGCACTTCATACTAATAGAGCAGCATGATGGCAAATACCTATTTGACATTTTGCAAGAGACACTCCAGTCTCGAAGAATATGCATTGCCAACTGCCGATTACAAGCCTATGACAATGCAATCAACATAGGACACATGTTCAGGCAAGATTTCGTGAAGTAAACAGTCTGGCTGGCTGCCCATAGCTTGCATTTGGTGGGCTCGGCCGTGGTCAAAAGTTTTCTTACAGCGGTGAACTTTTTTGGAATCTTGCAGTCCATATATACCTTCCAGTCTGCATCACCAAAGCGATGGTCCACTTTCTTGGGAAATATGAAGGTGAACCATCTGGTACAGAGTGTATCAAAAACCAGGTGGTCTGCGTGGAGTGTTGCAGCAAGAGCCTTGTCCAAGAATTATGCCGAAATCCGCAAGACACTCATATCGCTATATAATAACGATATATCGCTAAAAAATGATCAACAAACACCCGTATTCAGTCAATGATGCCAGGTCACTCGTCAGTATATAAGATCAGTTCGAAACGTTCTGTGATCTGAAGTAACTTTCTTGGAAAGACAGACCTGGTCAGCAAGTCACTGCAGCGACCAGGTATTGAGATGGACACCTGTTCCCATATCCATTGTTACTATAGACATGTAAACTTAAATTTAATGGAAATAAAAGGTTATTCCGAGGTTTGATTCCATGTTATAAAGGTCCATTTTTAAACTAGTGGTTCGATTATGGATTTAATACTAATTACTGTACTTCCAGATGAATTTCTTGTTGAATATGAAAGAACATCAGCAGATAATAAGATATTTGAATGAATGCAAGTTGGCACCAGGCCATTCATAAGTTTGAACTGAAACAGGATTCAATATTTGGGTTATTTATACATATATCATTATGTTAGGTTATTTCTAATATGTAAGTAGGATGATACAATGCAACACTACCTACCCTTTTGTCCTGTCAATAAAACCCCTCAATATTTAAATGGGGAAGTTGAATTAAAGCACGATTTTTCATCTTTAAGCCAGGTTGATAAATCCAATTGTGATTAGGAAAAAGTTTAGTCAGGCTTCGTGCATTGATGTGTAATATTTTAGCATTATAATTAAGATTAAAATATCGCATGTAATATCAGGGAAATTATCATTAAAATCAGGATCTATGTTGTAATTAACATTATTGAACAAAGGATCCCTGTCAACATTAGTCTGATCAAGCCTCATAGCCATGATTAATATTGGAAATATATGTGTAATTGGTCTGATATCAAATGACACCAAGTACAGCGGAACAAATATCGTACTATTAACATTGAAGAGAAAGTTTAATGAATATTGACTAGATTTACATTTCAGCTGATGAACTCAGAAGGCTCACACCGTTGTGTAGCTGGTAAGTAATGACAGGTGGAACAGACCACGGAACTTATGCAAACTGCACCCGGGCATCGCATCGAATTGCTGGTAGGTTGTCGTCTCGCAGCTGCTTGCAGGCATTCCGGACATCATTTCTTACATCATCAGAAATGAAGATTTTTGCTCCTATGTATGGATTGTTCCGGAGGGATTTAAAAGCTTGTTTGAGTATGTTTTGTCTGTCCCTGAAGCAAAGAAGTTTGCAGAGGATGGGTCGTGGATAAGTTTTGTTGACCTGGTTTGCTGACCGGTATGTAGGTGTTCCTGTTCAATTTCTATCTGGTCATCATCCTTCATGTGTGTCTTGAAGAAATCAGGAATGGTCGCGTTCCAATCCTTCTGGGATACCATGAAAGATGATGATGTTTCTTCTGTTACGATTCCACAAATCTTCAATTTGTTTTACTAATTGACAAATGTGGAGATGATTACCGTTGGTTAGATTCTTAAAACTTTACTTGGAGTCGGCATGGTTCTATTCCAGAAAGTTATGTCTTTAGTTCCTCAATCTCTGTGTTTTGTAGGCCCATTTTCTCTGTGGTTTCCTATAGTTTGACCTCAACTGCAGCTATTCTCGATCTGATAGTTTTGATGGACTTTCATATCTGGTCAAGCTTTGTATTCATGAGGGCGATGTTTTCCCAACACGAACACATATGGCAGCCACCTCGGACTTCTCTTCATTGTTCAAATTATAACCAATATTACCAAATTCATTAAAGGGACACATTATTCTGAAATCACCAAATATTTCTCTGTTTTTGATTGTTTATTTATCCTTTTTGAAAGGTCTTGTTGAGAGAAAACTAATCTAATATCTTACTGTTCCTGACAAAAAAAACGAAAAACCCTGGCTGTTTACTTCCTTTTGTGGCATACGTATACGTTATTCCAGCCTTAAGTAAATCTCCTTCTTGGACAAGGTTTTCCCCCCAACTTGTGTCCAAGATATCGGACAAAAAGTACTGTATACATGTGCTCACAAGTACTACTTCTAGCACAAATACACGAGTGTTGACTTTGTCCTGCACTGCCCCACGCTGCACGCAATGCACCAGTTTTGTACACGTACATGCACTTGACATGCATCAGGCAGTGCTGCCTGCTCACAAGTAAACTCCCAGAACAACTGACAAAACTGTGGTAATTTGATTATTAATCTAAAACAATACTGGGTGGTTTTTCAGTGTAAATTAGCCCTTATATTTGTCAAACAGATGAACACACATGCATTTTAATAAACATTTTCAATGTTGCGACGTGTGCGACTGGAATCACAACTGGCACCCAAACAGCTCAATTTTTGAGAGTCAAAATGTTGACACCCGAAATTCGTTTTAGCAAGAATAGCACAAAAACGGCAATTTTTAAAAGTATGGTTGTGTGCCGGGTGTTTATATTCTACTTTTAAATGCCCTTTCCAACCAATATCATTTTGCCAGATTAATGTGTGTGGCTAACTGCAGGATGTGAATACGTATACATGTAGGTAAGAATACAATTGAGAATTTTGAAAGGCCATGCATACAAAACAAGCATCTCTTTCTCTACCTATGGTCAGAGGCTATGATTACATGTTTAATCATGAATCAAAAGTACATTGTTCACTTGGGAAGTTATGTTGTTGTTGTTGTTGTTGTTTCTTTTTGGGAACATAGAGACCAACACTTTTAGTAGCAATTTCAAAATATTTTTACTTCGTAGTGGATCTGTAATCCAACCGTTAAAGGGAAGATACAACATTTGTAAACATGAAAAATCGAAATGATCAAATTAGAACAAAATACCTTACTGGATTGTTACTGTTAGGGAATGACAGTCTTAAGCATCCTGTAAAATCGTAGCTCCTGCCGACATTTTCAAGAAAATTGTAGTTTTCCAACGCTGGTCGGCCAACCAGCGTTGGAAAAAACTGGCTTTTTTTCAAAAACTGCTCCCACTTTTTATATTTGGTTATTCCGCATTTTCTTTGCAATTGATTACACACCTGTGAAGGGGTACAAGCCTGCTAGACTGATTCTCTGACCTAACAATTCCCCAAAGTCTATAAATTGCTCCGTTTCATCTTAAGTGTGGTCAGCGAACCAGACTTCAAGAACATGATAGGTTTTCTTGGTTCCTCCAGCATCTACAAGCCCAAAACGTGATACATTTATTTTGCTATAACATACTAATCCTCCAAATTCATTTATTTCTAAAAATCGCAGCAAAAGCAAATGTTGAACATTCCCTTTAAAAAAAGACAGACCCAAATTGACCACTAGTTGCCCTATGCTCCTTGATCAAGAGCCCTTTCTTACCCGGCTTACTCGTTCATCCCCAAAGCTGTAGTACATCATGCGTGGGCAGCCCACATGCGATGCAGTCATCCACTGGATCAATGACTTCAGCTGGGGATCACCGCCAAAGGCCCCGCAGCCCCAGTTGCCTGTTGAGATTGGCCTCTGGCCTGCTGGCCCCACTGCTCACAAGAAAGATTCAGTAAGTATTGAAAGTTCTTACATATTTGGAAGAAATTAGAAGACTCATGACATGAATTTCACTTTAAAACATATTTTCTGAAAATATTCTTGCTGCTGAAGTGTGTGAAAATAATGGACAGTATTTTGGTTTAAAATTAAATTTAAAAAATCACTTTTTTTTAAGACCATGCATTTATCTAGCAACTACCGGTAGGGGCACTGTTGATATCGATATGCATCATGGTTTTAAAAGAAAGGGTAGGATAGCGAAAGCTATTTTCCTCACAAAATTTCATCTCCCTCATAAATGTCTTTTTAAAGAGTATTTAATTGTATATGAACTTTACAAATTCAGCACAATGCCAAAACTAATAACAAATTAAGAAAATGACACATTACGCAATTTTGATGTTAAGTTCGATTACGGTTGGCCCTACATTACTATAATGTTTGAACTACATAAATGTTGTTGCGATTCCGAGCAAACAGCATAGTTGGCAACCCAGCAACCCCAAATAGTTGTATCAGGCCTTATCCTTGAGGTATGTGCATCAGTGCCTCACCTTCTTCATCACGTTCTTGCTCAACTCTTTTTATGTCCCTCAGCAAATTGGGCAGGTCAGCAAAAGCCTTTTGGATGACCTGATGGCCAGTGGTAGATGCAAACTCCTCCAGTCTGAGATTCTTGTTGCTCATTCGCACATCATCAACAGCTTCCTCAAGAGAGGAGTGTTCATTCTCTGAATAGACAGTGCCCATTTCAAAATTCCCAGCATTGACTTGAGCGTGTACCGGTACATGCAGATGCTCCTCTCGGTAAATCGTGAGCGCTGCCTCAATTATTGAGTTTGCCAGGTTGGAAGCCATGGTCATCAGGTCCTGCTCTGAAGGGTGGCATGGAGATTGGTCTTTGACTGCATCCTGCTGCACAATCTCATCTTCTTGTTCAACAGAATGTATGGCTTCTGACCATGGCTCGCCGTATAGCTGAACAAATACATCAGATACGACTTGGACGGAGTAACGGTCAGCTAGCATTTCCAGGGAGTGCCTTGATGTTGCAGTGTTCTCATCAGGCTGGGCTCTGGCACTTCCTCGTTGCAGCTCCATTGTGAAGTCAGCAAAGTCCTCCTTCTGCTTTTTGGATGACTTCTCCTCAGCTTCTGCCATCCTCTTGATCTCTTGAGCAAAGAAGGCCAGGCTCTCCTCAGTACGGCTAGGCCTTTTTCCCATTGGATCAATGTTACCAATCTTCAGTAGGTCCTCGGTGAAGCAGTCCATGCTGGACCGATTGGAGCTGTTAGGTATGGAGCCCCTAGGACTGGAGGTTCGGCGGGAGCTCGAGCTACTGGTGGTCTGGGCACTCCCTCCAAGGAGTTTCATGGATTCAGGCAGCGTCCGTGCAACCAGCTGCTCAGCGCACTCCCTGATGCGAGCCTCTCGAGACTGGCTGCTCTCTGTGCCCGACGAATCAACAGACAGTCGCTTGTCTCCAAAGTAAAGTGGCTCCTCAATGGCTGGCTGTTCCGAGATGGTCACCAGGGACTTATCAATGGATTGAGAGGTGTGCACGCTGGCCTCAAGTTCCACTGGATCTGTTGGGGATGGCGGCGGAGTGCTGGGGTCTTCATGGTGCCGGCCCCTGCTGCTCACAAGATTCCGATTTTGTAATGCATGTAGGGACTCGTTAAAGACTTCCCCGACCAATCTCTCGGCAAAGTTATTGGCTGTACAGGGTCTTTGATGCCCCTCTTGACTTACAGCATCATGAATACTGCTTGGAAGCGTATTTCCATTCTTGACATCTTCCTGGGCGAGAGTTAGGTACTTGTAGTCGCTAGCCTCATTATTATTATTAAGAGGATTTCCGACATTATCTTTCACATCAGATGACAGAGGGATTGTTTCCTTTTTCTGGTTGCCATTCAGATCCTTGATAGCCTTCTCTTGGAGAATTTGCTGCAGCTGCTGGAAGGCAGAAGACATGACATCCTCTGCCAAACCATCCAGGCTGAATTTGGAAACTCTTACGTACTCCGACAAAGATGGGCTGCTACTGACATCACCGCTGGTGAGTATGTCAAAGGAACCTGAGCGATCTCTTGCCATGGACATCTCAGAGTGGATTTCGCTGAAGTCCAAGGAATCATTGGAGATGGTGGTCGGGATACCTGAGCGGATGTTGAAATGCTTGTGCAGTGTTGCCAGTGCATCATGCATGATATCAGCAGCCAAAACTTCAGTGGAGAAAGCCTGGTTTGGATGCCGTTGTCGATATCCCAAGTCAACATCCCCGTTGAGCTTGACAAAGCTGTCAGATGACTGGCCAGAGGCAGAAGAGATGACACTGTAGTCAGCAAGGGAACCTTTGCTGCTGCGAGACTCACCACTGTGGGACTCTGTCATGTGCTGGGGCTCGCTATGCTTTTGTGGTGAGGTGAGAGTGGTACTGCTCTCACTCAACCCGATGTCATTCAGTGCAGTGCCAAATGCTGCATTATCAATGACCTGTATAAGCTCTGATGGTTCATCTCTGTTGTGCTCCTTATCATAGCCAGCATCTGACTCATCAGGGATTTGCTGCTCATTGGTCTCCTTGACCACAACAACAGCATTTGAGATGATATTGTTTACCAACATCTCAGCATGAAGCTCAAGGTTTTCATCTTGCAAGGTTGCATCTCCTTCCCCATCCTCTTCAGTGACTCCAACCCCCTGACTTCCAGCTTCTTCAAATCTGTTTGCTCCTGCCTCTTTCAGGACGTCCTGGACAAGCCCTGTAGCATAGCTTTCCAGTGCTGGAAGCTCTCCTGGGATTCCTGGTAACTCCATCTGGCTGACCTCATCAACAGGGGTGGAGTTGTTGGACATCATCAGCACTGTGCTGAGGGAATTCTGGCTGGATTCATCACGGGGAAGGCTGGGCCTTTGGAAGGAGCCTGTGACGTCCTTGATGGCAATGTCTGTGATGGCTCGGCTTAGGGAGCTTCCAAATGCCTGAAGCGTGGAGTTGGAGAAAGACTCACCTAAAAATTTCAACCAAAATGAAGCCTTTTTTACAAATGGTTTCTCTGGTAAGAACCACCTGTAATAATGCAATAGCAATGGAACATTGGTGTAGCCATTTGTTTGTTTTCCATAAGCGAGCAAGCTAGCATGCCAATTGCTGGTCTGACTGCTTTATACCGCTCTGTGTAACCAAACAAATGCGCATAACAGAGTCCAAGGCCCAACTTCACATGGCATGCTAAGCACAAAAGCTGTGGAATGCAGTAATCAGTTTAAAACTTGTCATAACCAATGCAGTATATGATCTGTATGGCATTTGGGCTAGTATCCTATTTTCCAAAGAAAACTTGGTTGTCTTATAACATTCATGTGCTTGTAATGCCTTTCAAGTATACAACAAGGAACTGAAACTTACAACTGTGATCATCCCCAGAAGAAGCCGTCTCAAAATCAGCACCATCTGTTGACACTAGGGATTGGTCCAGTGCGTCATGGTAGCTGCCACTGTCCACCTCCTCTTGGCCAATAGAAACACTAGTCTCTACGGAAGCCTTTGGGTAGCAGAAGCCCACGTAGGCCTTGTTTAACTCGCGGAAGATGTGCTCTGGTTTGTACTGGTTCTGCAGGTAGCCTGACCACGGCATGGCGTCAATTGCAATGAGAGTGTTGATCAGGTCACCACATTCATTTTTCTGAAGAATAAGTACAAAATGACATCAGAGAAATACTTGCTTCTTTGTATATCATGTTTACTTTTTCCAAAGACACAAAATTATGATGGAACAAAATTATGCTGACACAACATGGAAGGTCTAAAAAAAAAATTAAAGTTCCTTTTGCAAACAGAAAAAAAAATACAATGCATGAACATTCCTTGTTAATCCTTTTATTTGTATTCATATTTACTGTGTGAATACTTGCGATGATAAAAATTGTTTGAACCAGCTTCAATATGGTTACAGTAGATTTAACTGTGAAAATGGAGTTCTTTACAATGACACATTAACAATATACCTAAACTATTATGACTAGAGTTACTTAACTGTCCTCATGATTTGTGCCACAAAAAGACAAATTGTTTTCAGCAATGCTGCAACTCAGCTTCCATACACTGAATTCAATATACAGCAAATGCACTACCCTTGGGTTTAAAGCAGGAATGATATGGTCAGATATTTAGGAAAACATTATGTTTCAAGGCCAAGGGTATGGCAGGGCGAAGATAAACTACAGTGGAATGTCCCTATACCTAACACCACTATACCGAACATTTGGCTATACCGAACATTGTCCTTGGCTTCCAATTTTTGTGTACAAAACGTAACATTGTTGTTGAAAAATGTTAATAGAAGAGCGACAAGTGCCTGTTATTTTCCCAAGGAATAGAAGGGGAAAGCCACCCATTGCTGTATGTAGTAAGCTCAAAAACTTTGCAATTACATAATTCAATAGAAGGCACATGTGCAGGGTGAAGTTCTGAAGGGTGCTTTTCATTGAAAAGTGAGTATCGGAGCACCAGCAGCTTAAAACGTTTTTGTGGATCCCGCAATGTTCGTTATAGCGGCGTTCCAATGTATTGCCAAAAGAAATTGACGCTGCTCCTTGCGTGTCAACATTAAGTGTTATGTTATTACAGTTAAATCCTGGTTAACCAAGTCCAAATCCGCATGCTGCCTTTCTGTTTGTTTGGGTAGTAAGGCCATGTACATGTATTTGGCCTAGTGAGATGGGGCTGCTTTCCCTTTGTCATTTTGAGGTAGGGCTGTGTCTACATGGTGAAGTTGAGCTGCTTTGGCTTTGTCTTTCAGAGTAGATGCAGTTGTTGACCTCCACGTGGTGAGCCCTGTCAACTGACTTCTGTCAGGCGAATAACAACAACAGAGATATCAGAAGCAGAATCAGAATCATCTACAGCAATTTCCCGTACCGTCAAGCAAGTACATCCTCAATAATGCAACCTCAGCTGCCGCAGCCAACCTGGAGCATGCGCCCTTTTCAGGGTGGTCACTTACAAGTGTCATACGGGCCGGCATCTCCCTATTGCAGTTGAATGTTGAAGGCCAAACAAAGGCCAAGATTATTGTCATCGAGCACCTGACACAGACCCACAAAGTCAGTGTTATCCTCTTCCAAGAGACCCACTTCAGCAACTCCTCCCTCCTGAAGGTCCCAGGTTACACCTTGGCAGCCTACACTAAGAGTAATACCCATGGAATTGCAACGTTTGTAAACAACACAGCAAAAAGGGCAGCAATTGCAGTGTGTCCTCCAGATTTGGAAGTGGAGTGGGCAGCAACGAAAGTTGAAGGCATCACTGTCTTCAATGTCTACGTATCACCTCCCTCCAGACTTCATGGAGACTCCTTCCCCTCCTATGGCCCTCTTTGCATGTATGCCGGAGACTTCAACTGTCATAGCACAACATCAGGATACCGCTCAACCAATCAAGATGGTACAACCCTGGAAGACTGGGCCTCGGCCACTGGCATCTACCTCCTCTATGACTCTAAGCAGCCTGGCAGCTTCCATTCTGGCCGTTGGAACACCACCTCCAACCCGGATCTGGCTTTTGTAAACCCGAATGGTCCTCTTTTTCACCGTACCATCCTTGATCAGTTTCCAAGATCACAACACAGACCATCCTTGATCATCCCCGACAACCCAATCAAACCTGTCCCAACCAAACCCGTTAAAAGGTGGAACTTTCGCAAGGCCAGATGGGACAATTTCACAAGCCTTGTAGATGCTGGGGTTTGACAACATACCCTACCCCACCCCCAACAACCTAGATACAGCCTACTCAGCACTCCACAGACTTCTCATTGAGGCGACGAAGAAGGCTATTCCTCATGGACACTAACGCAGATACATCCCTGCATGGGATGAAGAGTGTGATGCATGCTACGATGCCTTTCTCCAAGCTGAACCAGGCGAAGATACAGCTACAAAGGCTACAGACCTGACAAACTGCCTTGACAAAAAGCGCAGAAATCATTGGGAAGAGACAGTCCAGGGAATCGACTTCACACACTCCAGTAGAATAGCCTGGAAAACCTTCAACCATCTTACTGGCCGAAGTACTCGCCCCAAGCACTGTACTGTCACTGGTAACTCTATCGCTCCTCGCCAATGGACACTTGAAAGATGCAGACAAGAATCACACACGCACCTGCAAAGCATTGTAGAGAGTGCCTCACGGACAGGTTTGCGTCAAAGGCCTAGGCAAACTCCGATCACCCTCTGCACTAGCTGATCCAAGATACACAAGGTAAGGTTTGGCTGCTTTGTCTTCTCTTGTCGGGATTGACAGGGGAGCCATGGATTTGGCTTGGTAAGGTTTGGCTGCTTTGGCTTTACTTGTCGGGATGGACAGGGGAGCCATGGATTTCACTCGGTAAGGTTTGGCTGCTTTGGCTTTGCTTGTCAGGATGGATAGGGGAGCCATGGATTTCGCTCGGTAACGTTTGGCTGCTTTGGCTTTGCCTGTCGGGATTGACAGGGGAGCCATGGATTTGGCTTGGTAAGGTTTGGCTGCTTAGGCTTTGCCTGTCGGGAAAGACAGGGGAGCCATGGATTTGGCTCGGTAAGGTTCGGCTGCTTTGGCTTTGCCTGTCGGGATGGACAGGGGAGCCATGGATTTGGCTTGGTAAGGTTTGGCTGCTTTGGCTTTGCCTGTCGGGATTGACAGGGGAGCCATGGATTTCGCTTGGTAAGGTTTGGCTGCTTTTGCTTTGCCTGTCGGGATTGACAGGGGAGCCATGGATTTGGCTTGGTAAGGTTTGGCTGCTTAGGCTTTGCCTGTCGGGAAAGACAGGGGAGCCATGGATTTGGCTCGGTAAGGTTTGTCTGCTTTGGCTTTGCCTGTCGGGATAGACAGGGGAGCCATGGATTTGGCTTGGTAAGGTTTGGCTGCTTTGGCTTTGCCTGTCGGGATGGACAGGGAGCCATGGATGTGGCTCGGTAAGGTTTGGCTGATTTTGGCTTTGCCTGTCGGGATGGTCGGGTAAGCCATGAATTTGGCTCAGTAAGGTTTGGTTGACTTTGGCTTAGCTTGTCAGGATGGAGAGGGGAGCCATGGATTTCGCTCGGTAAGGTTTGACTGCTTTGGCTTTGCCTGTCGGGATTGACAGGGGAGTCGTGGATTTGGCTCGGTAAGGTTTGGCTGCTTTGGCTTTGCCTGTTGGGATGGACAGGGGAGCCATGGATTTGGCTCGGTAAGGTTTGGATGCTTTGGCTTTGCCTGTCGGGATTGACAGGGGAGCCATGGGTTTGGCTCGGTAAGGTTTGGCTGCTTTGGCTTTGCCTGTCGGGATGGACAGGGGAGCCATGGATTTGGCTCAGTAAGGTTTGGCTTCTTTGGCTTTGCTTGTCGGGATTGACAGGGGAGCCATGGATTTGGCTCGGTAAGGTTTGGCTGCTTTGGCTTTGCCTGTCGGGAAGGACAGGGGAGTCATGGTTTTGGCTCGGTAAGGTTTGGCTGCTTTGGCTTTGCTTGTCGGGAAGGACAGGGGAGCCATGGATTTCGCTCGGTAAGGTTTGGCTGCTTTTGCTTTACTTGTCGGGATGGACAGGGGAGCCATGGATTTCACTCGGTAAGGTTTGGCTGGTTTGGCTTTGCTTGTCGGGATGAACAGGGGAGCAATGGATTTCGCTCGGTAAGGTTTGGCTGCTTTGGCTTTGCCTGTCGGGATTGACAGGGGAGCCATGAATTTGGCTTGGTAAGGTTTGGCTGCTTTGGCTTTGCCTGTCGGGATTTACAGGGGAGCTATGGATTTGGCTCAGTAAGGTTTGGCTGCTTTGGCTTTGCCTGTCGGGATTGACAGGGGAGCCATGGATTTGGCTCGGTAATGTTTGGCTGCTTTGGCTTTGCCTGTCGGGATGGACAGGGGAGCTATGGATTTGGGTCGGTAAGGTTTGGCTGCTTTGGCTTTGCCTGTAGGGGTGGACAGGGGAGCCATGGATTTGGCTCGGTAAGGTTTGGCTGATTTTGGCTTTGCCTGTCGGGATGGTCGGGTAAGCCATGAATTTGGCTCAGTAAGGTTTGGTTGACTTTGGCTTAGCTTGTCAGGATGGAGAGGGGAGCCATGGATTTGGGCCGTTAAGGTTTGGCTGCTTTGGCTTTGCTTGTCGGGACGGACAGGGGGGGGCCTGGATTTGGCGTGGTGAGGTTGGGCTGCTTTGGCTTTGCCTGTAGGGGTGGACAGGGGAGCCATGGATTTGGATCAGTAAGGTTTGGCTGATTTTGGCTTTGCCTGTCTGGATGGTCGGGTAAGCCATGGATTTGGCTCAGTAAGGTTTGGTTGACTTTGGTTTAGCTTGTCAGGATGGAGAGGGGAGCCATAGATTTGGCTTGTAAAGGTTTGGCTGCTTTGGCTTTGCCTGTCAGGAAGGACAGAGAAGCCATGGATTTGGCTTGGTAAGGTTTGGCTGCTTTGGCTTTGCTTGTCAGGATGGAAGGGGGGGGGCCATGGATTTGGGCCGGTAAGGTTTGGCTGCTTTGGCTTTGCCTGTTGGGATGGACAGGGGGGCCCATGGATTTGGCTCGGTAAGGTTTGGCTGCTTTGGCTTTGCCTGTCGGGATGGTCGGGTAAGCCATGGATTTGGCTCGGTAAGGTTGGGCTTCTTTGGCTTTGCTTGTCGGGATGGACAGGGGAGCCATGGATTTGGGCCGGTAAGGTTTGGCTGCTTTGGCTTTGCCTGTCGGGATTGAGAGGGGAGCCATGGATTTTGCTGGGTAAGGTTTGGTTGCTTTGGCTTTGCCTGTCGGGATTGACAGGGGAGCCATGGATTTGGCTCGGTAAGGTTGATTGCTTTGGCTCTGCCTGTCGGGATTGACAGGGGAGTCATGGATTTGGTTCGGTAAGGTTCGGCTGCTTTGGCTTTGCCTGTCGGGATGGACAGGGGAGCTATGGATTTGGGTCGGTAAGGTTTGGCTGCTTTGGCTTTGCCTGTAGGGGTTGACAGGGGAGCCATGGATTTGGCTCGGTAAGGTTTGGCTGATTTTGGCTTTGCCTGTCGGGATGGTCGGGTAAGCCATGAATTTGGCTCAGTAAGGTTTGGTTGACTTTGGCTTAGCTTGTCAGGATGGAGAGGGGATCCATGGATTTGGGCCGGAAAGGTTTGGCTGCTTTGGCTTTGCTTGTCGGGATGGACAGGGGGGGGGCATGGATTTGGCGTGGTGAGGTTGGGCTGCTTTGGCTTTGCCTGTAGGGGTGGACAGGGGAGCCATGGATTTGGATCAGTAAGGTTTGGCTGATTTTGGCTTTGCCTGTCTGGATGCCATGGATTTGGCTCAGTAAGGTTTGGTTGACTTTGGTTTAGCTTGTCAGGATGGAGAGGGGAGCCATAGATTTGGCTTGTAAAGGTTTGGCTGCTTTGGCTTTGCCTGTCAGGAAGGACAGGGGAGCCATGGATTTGGCTTGGTAAGGTTTGGCTGCTTTGGCTTTGCTTGTCAGGATGGAAGGAGGGGCCATGGATTTGGGCCGGTAAGGTTTGGCTGCTTTGGCTTTGCCTGTTGGGATGGACAGGGGGGCCCATGGATTTGGCTTGGTAAGGTTTGGCGGCTTTGTCTTTGCTTGTTGGGAAGGACAGGGGGACATGGATTTGGCTCGGTAAGGTTTGGCTGCTAAAAAATATGACCCCCTCCAAAAACAAAAACCTACAGAAAACCAAATTTATAACAAATATGAGGGGAAAATTCACAATACAGAAAGGCTGATGTTGGTGTGCATGCAACTGCTTTATCGGCAGTACATCCATTTTAGACATTGCCAAACAGCATTCAATTTGCACTAGGTGATGCAGACTCTGCAGTTTTTACATTTTTTAAGGCTATTTCAGTTGAATTTTAAAATTATTGGCAAGGCTTTTGACTTGCATTTATTTTTGTGTGGTATAACTTGTACACATCGAAGAATAGATGATTAACTTCTGGACAACAAATATGCAGGAAGTCAATTCTGAAGTTAAACACAGCCTGTGACTTGGGACAGGATGACTTTGGATTGACTTGTGATGGACTTTGAGGACCTATGATGGACTTGACCAAACCTCGCACTATCCTCACCTTTGCATAGTCCTTGTGATCTCCAGTGAACTTGAGGGTGCTACTGTAGCCTGAGTATTCTGAGAACTGTTCAAAGCCTGTGACAACTACTGCCTCGTTGTCTTGCAAGCTCTCTGTGAAGAGTAGCGAAGCCAGGAGCTCGGGGCAGGTGCTGAAACGTATCTCCTCCTGCTGACGGCCAGCAAGTAGTATGCTGCCGCCAAGAAATCTGTTGGCAAAATCAACCTGCGGAGAAAAGTTTCCCATATGAATTCGTATCTACAGAAAATGTGTTGCTTGATGTACTGACTGACGGTGTGTTTTATGAAGTGCATGTGTGACCTCTGTATGTAGGCTTAACAATGTGATGGGGCGTTGAATTTAGACTATTTAGATTATGGTTCTGATTAGACTAAGGACATTTTAAGTAAAAAAAAAATGGTAGTTGACCATGTGTGTAAACAGAGGGGGTAAGTGTGTGGTGAGTCCATAAAGTATCATTAAGCAAGTTTGATTGAATGCCATTGAACACAAGTCAGTGGATGATTGTTGGACTGGTCGACTGTTAACACTTCAATTCAATATAAGCATGCAAGCGTGAAAAAATAATGATTAATCAACCATCACTTCTTGAACAAATTTGCTCCTACCTGTAGTGCATGGCTGCCTGCATTCTCTATCAGACCCTCGTGCTTGATAGTGAGGGGGCAGAGTGGGGTCTTGCTGTCCAACCACTCCTCCAAAGAAATGGTCTCATCCTCCTTGAGAACCTATCAACAAGACGCAAAGAAGAATGCTTCAAACACTGTTGACATTATAAACTCAGAGCTGGAATTTTAGATGGCACTGTGTTGCCTGCTCAGGAGGGACACTGAAGTTATTAAAAGAATTGGTGAGCCAAAACAAATTACCAGCAAAAATGTCATGTGAAGTACATGTACATGTACACCAGTCACATGTGCAAACATATCTGGATGTATTCACCTGAAAGCTCTTGGCCTTTCTTACAACACTGATTTTCCTTTTTTTTTCATCAGACATGACAGAAAAAGCAATACAATATCTGAATACAATTCCTACATGTTCCTTGAATGGTATATTTAATTCAAAAGAGTGTTCATGAGTCCAGAATGATGACTTTTCTGGTTTTTTTATAGTTTTTTTTCTGTGTGCACAAACAATGGAGGATAGCCTGGTGATCCAAGTTGGCAGTGTCAATGCTTTGAAACTACTTGGCAACACCAACCCTAAAAGCCTTGCATCGATCTGATGGTACAGGCCATACTAAATCCACTAGGGAATTTGGAAATTCCCAATAGAGTTGCATTTCAAGCATGTTCCACAAATTCTCCGGTAGATAGGCAGCCATTCCATCAACCTGAACTCCCAACTGCCCTTAATCAGTTGAAATGAAATCTAGGGTTGGATGAGCCAGATACTCCAGTGCAATCTAAGCAGTATGTGGTAGTACATTATCCTGCTAGAACTGGAACTCAGGGCTGATCAAAAAATGGCAGGCAGACAGATTAAAATGATCCAGGAAATATGGATATTAAATGCTGCATTGATGTTGTCATTCTGCACCAGGTCACCAATACAGAGCTGAAATAGCCATAGACCATGATTCCAGACCTCCGGTGTTTCGTTGATGGAATGGAGTACTCTTCAAGATACTCTTTGTGGCTACATCTCTGTAGATAAACTCGGCCAACAGACTAGTAGAGCTGGAAGCAGGACTCGCCAGACCATAGCACTGTGCTCCAGTAGGCAGGGGTATAGACGAGGTGATCCCAGCCAAAGCCACCAAGGAAGCTTTGTGGTCTGCAGTAAGGCATGGCATGTGTCTTGCAACTCACATTGTGAATTCTCCATTAAATAAGCCCACACAAAACATTCCGACCTACTGACATGACTCACCCTTTTTTTTTGAAAGGCGTGTACATTGTAACAGGAAGTAGAGCTTTTTTTGGTTTAATAGTGTCAATGACAAAAGACCTAGGTTTGAAAGTTTATTGAACAATCACTGTGATATTTCTATTAGTGACATGTCAAGATGAAAATCCTACAGCTGGTACATAAGTACTTTGAAAACAGGTGTATATGGATATTGACTACATGTAGTTCTCAACTGATTGTCACTTAATAGCAAAATACAGTTGCATTATTATCTATTGATTGCAGATTTGAACTAGCCAGACAAACCTGGTAAGCTCAGTAGTCAAGTTGCAATCGACATCAGCAACAGAAAGCAGCAGATGTGATTTTCTCACAAGCTCTGGGACTGCACATAATATCCATGTACATGTACAGTGCATACACAATGTAAACTTACATTGGTGAAGGGAAAACCCCAATTTATTAAAATAATCTCCCCATCTGAAATTCCAACAAAACTCAACATATGCTCTGAGTACCGGTAACTCCATAATATTGAGCTTTCAGTGATAGGAATATCTGACCTGTCTGATGTAAGATATGTGTCCAGTCAAGCTCTTATTCACATCAATGTCAGCCAGTCTGTCAAAGTAGTTCAGAAAACAGCGCAGCTTGGCTGTCTGGGAACTCTTGGTGGAAGAACTGTGAATAAAGAGGTAAAAAATGTTCCTATGGTAACAGTGATGAAAATGAGAAAACAATAATAGCTAGTTACCTTCAGCACATTGTTTGTGTCATTATATTATTGAATTTTGTCAACATTTGATAAGCACTGGTACAGTATCCAGCTAGATGTACATTTACATTCACTGTTAAATTATACATTTTACATTGTCTGGTAGTCTAGTGAAAAAAACTTACCCAAACAAAACCATAATTCCTTGTGGAAATATACTTTATTAATTGTAAAATCATCATAAGGGTGCACAGATTTGGTGAACTGAAATGATCTACAATGGTGATTGCACAAAAATGCACGTAGCACTCTACATATAAAAACTGCATATTTACTGCCATATACTGGGCACCTACATGTACAAGAACCGTACCGCTGTCTCAAGTGAGCAATAGAAATGTGGCAACACTTTATGCCATATGTGCATAATGTGCTGCCATATTTGGCATAAAAAAAATGGTCTATGTACAATCTTTCAGCTGGAATATTATATATTGTGATGTTAATCTGTGTCAGCTGAACTGACCATGTACATGTTGTTGACCTATGTAATTGATGGTGAGTGAAATGTGAAGCCCTTGAACTGCATGGAAGACACAATACACAAAAGCCTACAGTAGGCCAACTTCAAGATGCGTTTCTTTCAAATCAAGTTCATTCCATGAAAGCTCGCGAGTGGCAGGGATTTGAGCTACATGTACATCAATGACAGCCAAGAAAGGCTCACAAATTGGTTTGATTGACGTCAGCTGGTTCAATTATTATTTGACACACCATGGCTTTTCTACGTATGGGCCACCATACTCAGATAAGATTTCTTCATAATTGCATTCTTTGTCTTGTTTTTCACAGAACGATAATGGTTGGAAAAGAAAAAAAGAAACCAACACTCACCTAACTACATTGTACATTGTAAACATGTATTTTGAAAACTTCTGTTTCCTTTGTAATCATCATGCTTATGAATTGGCAAACACATTTTTCAACATTTGCTCCGTAAATGTAAGATTCTAAATGTACATGAGGATTATTGTGACCCTGACCTTTGAAAAATGGCAACTCAACAATATAAAACACTAAATAATCCACAAGTAAATTTAACATTCCTGGGGTTTTTTTCTATTCAAAAATTGTCGGTTGATTCTGGAGGATGCATTATGTCGAGTTCATAGGCTGTACCGAGTATATGTTTAGTGAGCCCTGCATTATGCCCGATATCATCTGCACTGCTTCTGCATGTCATCGGCACTGCCTCAACCCGGGTTAGTTGGAGGATTTTGAAGGATTGAGGCAATGGTCACCCCTCCACTTAACAAATTCCAGATATAACGGATGATTTTGGAGGATTGTGGCTGCATCCGATTTTTACATAGTGGCATTTGGAGGATTTTGCAGGATTGAGGATGGCTCCTAGCCAAAAGGGCCTGGGGGTTAGGGTTAACAGATTTTGTATCCAATAGTGTTTGCATAACATTTTTTACGATGTCATGAAGCTTGACTATCACTGCGTTTACACTCAATCTGGCAAAAGGGGATCGGGTCTTGCGGTTGTCATAAAACCACAGGGAAGCTAATCGCAAATAAACTGTGCCACGTTTACACTCGATCTAAACTTGGTGCCAAGTTGCTGCCGGCAATGCACGTAGTCTGGTTCCCAGACCAAATGATGCTGACTATTGATGATCAATTACCGACTTGGCGAATACGTTTTCAATTTTGTACACAACATATGGGAGTATTTTGAATCGCTAGCGAATTCTATGCGAGCACTCCGATTGGTTCAGACTGCCGAGCATATTCTAGGCCGCCACGGAAGATCATTCTCATTTCTTCGAGGGTTTGTACATGTACTTTGTTTTGTCTAACATTACAAAAATCGTTATAGGGCATACCGGGTACACGACTCAAATATTTTATTTCAATACACAATTGACCTAGCTAAGTGTATTGGTCGTTAAAACGTCGCCAGATCTGCAAACATGTCCCTGATGTATTGAGAAGAACTCCCCATGTGACGGAATGAATGAGTCCTCATTTGCATAGCGGTGCCCCGTTGGATCTCGCCGCAAAAATGCACTGCATATGTATTGCGCTGCACGCATATGAGTAATGGTGCGAGAACGTAATCGCCAAGTCGTTACAATTGTCGCAACCCGGCCGATGGAGTCTTATACCAGCCACGCCGATGGAGTTCGACTGAAGTTCACGGACAAAATACGACTATCTAACGACTTGTCATCAAGTCTACACTCGATCCGGATCCTCCTTCGATCCCCTATTTACAACGGAAGGAAGGTCATTGAGTGTGCGCAGAAGGTGGCCATTTTTGCACGTGAATCATTGCAGAAACGTAAGATTGTCGTTCCAACTCTGCCCCTCTCATTGCTTGCCTATTACAATAAATCAAAAAAGGATGATTTACTTAATATTTTATAATGCTGGTCCCCCAATTTTTTGTCGTAATCTTCATCAGTCCTCCACACATTGTCCACACTAGTCCACGAATGATATCACTGTACGTATAAGCTATGCTTTCCGAATGATGAAGTTAACTTGCTTTTCAGAGCACTTGTTTATACACTACAAGCTGATTTACCCGACCATAGATCGGGTATATAGGGCGTAGTGTTGGGGATGAAAATGTGGGCAGTTAAATGTAAATGGGGGATCATTGAGGAGACATGCAGTTATAGAAAAACAATTTTTGTGGTGTGATCTGAGGCAATTTCTGACCACTGAAACCAATTTGAGCAAAAGATCATCTTTTAAACATCATTTTCGAGCTTGGGGTAATTGAATCAGCTACACGGTATTCTGAGCAATAGAATCATTATAGTAGGCTACAATTTTTATTCGGGGAAGAAAAAGTGTGGGGGGGGGGGACCAAACAATGTGCCCGCTTTAAAATGTGGGGGGGGGGGTCCCCCTGTTCCCCACCGATTTACGCACATGATAATTATGTACCCTGATAACTGTCTGTAAATGTTCCCGTTGGTCTGTTAAATTGGCATTTTGTGAGGCAGTGGCATTGCCGGGAGAACGTAGTGAAAAGGTTACCGTAGTACACAGGCGAAGGCTGATTGTACAGTGTTGACACTAAATCATAATGTAATCAAACGTGAAGTTGTCATTTGCAATGGAAATGTTGAGTGTTACCATCAACTTACAAACGGTGTGAATGATGGAGGAAGGTCATAATTAAGTTTCAGTATTGGACTCTTCAACAAACGTAAACTTGAACTTCTTACAATTTGCGAGACCGTCTGCGAGGAAAAAGTCGATTCAACTTTTATTCAAGTTGGTCAATCATCTATATAAGAGCAAGTTTTACGTGGCCTCCGAGACGATGTTCGCTCCTGAAAGGTTCCGAGACCGCGGTCTCCCGCGACGCCAAAATGGCTCCACGTCCATAGAAAATACGGAGAATTTCTTCCGCCAAATCAAGCACTTCAGGTCGTCCTAATTTTTCCGTACGGACCGGCGATCCGTTTTGTCGATTTTTTTGTGACTGCGTTCAAGATCGCAATATTTGAAGCAATGCATCGACCCTTTGTTGATCCCAAACAGGCCCCCGAAATTATAACGCGACACTGACTGTGACGTGCAGCACAACGCTCAGCCTTGGTGGAAGCATAGAGCTAGTGGAAGCATGGAGCTGTAAACACATTATGGAAGCAACAGCACTCTATCACGCGACGTCACATGCTTGTGCTTCAAATAGCGAGCACTGTAGACTCGACCTCGTTTCCAGAGTGTGGAGCAGGCTGCAGTACGCGTTGCCAGTGACGGTTTTACGCATAGCCGGGAAGTACCACGCAGTGTAGACTTTCGATTGGTCAAACCGCGCTAGGCATACTAATGAGTAGTCCTTCTGAGTATTCGTTGCACTCGGCGCAGGGGCGGCAAGCGAAGCATATGAAAGAATAGGGACACTTGGTGGCCACGCACCATGGACAAAAAATATTTTACCAAGGTCACCACATACTAACGTTTGGTGAACGCTTTTGCAGAAGGGCCGAGTAGAACACGTAAACGAAACCCCTACGTTGACCTCGCTGACCTCGCACAGTCTAGACACGCAGAAAAGCCAGCACAGGGGGCGGCCAGGCAGTCAACGTGAAAGCGCACACGACGGCAAATTCCTGCGCAAAACGCAGTCACGAAAAATCGACGAAACGGATCGCCGGTCCGTACGGGAAAATCAGGACGACCCGAAGTGTCCGACCCGGCGGAAGACACCCTCCGCATTTTTCCACGGACGTGGAGCGATTTTGGGGCCGCGGGAGCCCGCGGTCTGGGATCCTTTCATGAGCAAACATCGTCTCGGAGGCCGAGTTAAACTCTCTCTTATATATATAGATTTAGCGGTATTTAACTCCAAAAGAAAATTGGACATTTACTGGGAATATGAAAAGTTCTCTTGTCGTGGGTGGCGATTTCACGGCGATTGTGTAGGTATGGGCCCTGATTCTATAAAGAGAACATAAACCAGCTATCCAGGCTATTGGAGTCACCAAACTTGCAATCGATCTTGTTCAATTTTTTTGAGAGAATCTTTTGGGGGTAAAATAGTGATGAAGACTACAAAATGCAACACAAGAATAACGGCGTGCACCGAGGTCACCGCGATGCACATAATATGCTACACCCCATTGCTTTGTATGGCATCAATTGAAAAATGCGTAAAAGAAATCCGCATTTTCTACGAAAGGATAATGTTCAAAATTACAAAAACATAGGTTTCATAGAATTTTAAAAAGACTGTTTAAGATTGAAGTTTTAATCATTTTGGAATGACCAAAACACTTTCAGAACTAAAACGGAATCGAGAACCCAAAGGGGAATCGAGAAAAGAGGATCAGATCAAGATCAGACCCCGATCCACTTCGCGTTTACACTTGCCGTCGATCCCCCTTTGATCCTCCTTGCGGGATCAGATCCCCCTTCGATCCTCCTTGTGGGTTCCAGTGCAAACACAGCGTATGAAGGCCATTAAACTATAGGCCCATGCTGTAGCTAAATTGTTCCTAGTCTGTTCTGGCTGTTATTTTTTTAGCGACAGAGAGCAGTTACCCAGAACTACTTGCCATATGTGCTTGACCACTGTACATGACATTTACATTCTATGTACATATATATGCATGTATGCGATTCGTTTGTGCATGTCTTGTACATGTACATATACATAGTATAAAATGTTCAATTGAGGTACTGTTGCATTGTTTTGGGTTTTGGGGGGTTGCGACATAAAAGGTGAGTTTTGTACAAGTTATTACAAACAAATCACTTTCATCAGCTCTGATTATGTTTCAGTCCAATTTCGAAAATCCTCTTGAATTTTTGGGAGTGTTATTTTGTTATTTTTTTTTGGCGCTTCTTGGAATAACTAAGTATCACTGTAGGAGCGCCTGCGCGATCACGCTCCTCAAAAATGATGGTCTGATGTAAACCATTCTTTATGGTTTTGAATAAATGAAATGTCGTCTCGACTCAGACTAAAACTGCACCTCTGTGACTCATGACTCGAAATCAGACCATCTCCATGAAATTAGATGAGACTTTGGGACTTTGACTTTTCATACAACACAAAGAATTCAAACTTGGATGCAAATCTGTGAGTTCGAGGGTCAAAAAGGAAGACAGTGTACACTACAGTGATGTAGTGCCTTGATGCTGGGCCTTGGCCTTAAGGCTGCCTTAAGGCTGGATTTTAGGGCCTTGGCCTTGGCCTCGAGGCTTGAGGGCAATAGCCTTGGCCTTGGCCTTGGCCTTGAGGGTTCAGGGCCTTGCAATTTTGAGTCAAGGCTCTTCAAGGCCCATAGATTTTTGCATTTTCCAGATAAATCTGTTCGAAATTTTGCTGTTAGCATTTTAATCGTATTACCATGGAGGAGGGAAGCACCCTATAGATTTGTGTGTTGGGCACACTTCCACTTTTGTAGCATCACATTGTGTTACCATTGTAGTATAGATTTGCTGCAAAAATATTCCGTACACTTGTGGGGCTAATGAGATGATCACTTTAATTGCATATAACTATGGAATAGATCTGATTGGTTGTATATGTCTCCCTGATAAGTGCTAAAGATTTGCATGTATCTGTTTTAGATAATGCTGATATTTCTGACCATGTTGGGCCAGCAAATAAAAATTTCCCAAATCAGTTTCTTGAATCCCTCTTTGGTTACACTTGGGAGAATTGTGCGTCAATATAGAAGTAAATCATTATTTTGTTTAGTTAAACCATATTGAAGACCTGAACTTATACTTTAATAGATACAATGCAGTCATAAAACGGTGTAGGCCTATGCGAGCATGTTGATTGCAATTAAAGAAATGTTGTTCTTCGTAACGAGCAATTCGTGATGATAAGGGCGGATCCAGGGGGGCCAAAAGGGGCCATGCCCCCCCCCCCCCAAAAAAAAAAACACCCGAAACCATATTTTTTTTTATGTGACGTCGTAATAAAGGCAGGCAATGAGTACACCACCATCTTTTCCTCAAAAAACATCGGTTAAAATGGTCAGAAATTGCCTCAAATCGCACCACAGAGCATCTCGAATCCAACAATTTTTCGGGCCCTTAGGCGGGCCCCGAAGCCCAAGCCGTAATTTTTGACCCACTTATTTTGGGGGGACCAAAATTTCTTTGGGCCCCCCCCCCCCGCAAATTGTGTTCTGGATCCGCCCTTGCGTGATGATGTGTCACTCATGTGACTATAATTAGTTCTATATTAGTGGTCATTTCATAAAACAGGGCCTTGGCCTTGGCCTTGAGGGTTAAGCCTTGGCCTTGGCCTCGAGGCTTGAGGGTCAAAGCCTTGGCCTTGGCCTTGGCCTTGAGGGTCAAAGCCTTGGCCTTGGCCTTGGCCTTGAGGGTCAAAGCCTTTGCTCCAACACTGGTACACTACTCACCAAATCAGGAATTGGAAGAATTCATCAAAGTTAATGCTGTTCACACGGAGGCTGTGCTGTTTTGGGAAGGTGCAGAGAAATGCATTGGCGACCACACTGGCTACAAAACGTCTGTCCAGGCACACTGTCGATTCTAAAATTAAAATGCAACAAAGTGTTAAGTACATGTTCATGTTCATTTCATTTAGTAATTGTGCCCTAATGTTAGAACATGGGGATATGTGTAACCGGTAGTTTTTGCAATCTTACATGATGAAATACGTGTAACCTACAGGCTAACAGAACTGTTTGTTTAGCTCCAAATAACTAAAAACATTTGCAGTGTACACATTTTGGTGTTATCCTACTGGTGGATGTAAAGAACTTTCTGTTTTTACCTTGTTTTCTGTGCAATGTACCGGTACAGTAGTTGTTGTTATTGTCTCTGTACAACCTTAACTATACATTTACATTGTAAACTAAAAGCTTGGCTCAATGCATTTGAATCATTAATTTAGTACAGTGCTGCAAGTAAACCCTCAGGTTCTGGTTCAAATTTTCTCTAGCACGGTTCAAAAATTATTGATCGGACAATAATTTGAATCAGATTTGGCAGCAAATTGGAACATCAATGGGATTTGCTGTGGATATACATACACTGGTTTATCATGACAATAAAACAGTCTTAATGTAGGCCCTTCACAACACCAAGTCATGTGCAAGCTAGAATACAACCAGGCCATGCTACGATACCCACTGCTTTACAACTAGTAAGAAAATTGTCGTATTTTATGCGCTCAAAGTTAAATATATATATATATATATATACATATTAAAAGGTGAGTTGCATAAATCAAAAATGTATTCATATTGTCCATTTTGCTTTACTTCAAATGCTTCTTAATATATTTAGACAAAAAATGCACATAAAACTACTGATGTTCAGATTTCTTTTTTCAAATTGATGGTATTACATGACGTGTTAAGGCCGCTTCATTCTCAGCACCGAGGCGAATGTGAACACAAATTTATGACATCACGGCAAGTAATCGCGCTGCAAAAGTGCCAAAGTTGAACACATTTCAACTCCGGCAGATTCGTAGCGAAGGTTTTCCAACATCATATTCAATTCGATTAATTTGCGTGAAGAATGAAAAAACGTACAAACGTGCCAGAAAAAAATGTCCAATTCAGTAATCCTTTTTTTATTCAAGAGACCTGCAAGAAATCCCTCCCAAGCGATGTAAAATTCTTTCAAACTACTCGGATTTGCAACGTCTGCAATGTGCGTGGTGCACATGGTGGTCAGACACTCAGGCCATGTTTACTGATACAGCAAAGCACGGATCATGTTAGCTATTGTCCATCAAGGACTACAAATGTATGCGTATACATGACCTGACTGTCCCTACATACGCCATACATACTGTTTTCTTTTTAGTAAGGTCAGGAAAGAGGTTGATTTTCCTATTACTTTGAACAATAAAAAAATATGGTGGAAAGGTGGGTAAAATATTTGTGTTTATTTTTTGCTCTAAATTTTTATAGTCGGAGTGGGATGATGGTTGATAAATATGTTTTTTATTACTATTTGCATGCATTCGTATCAGTTAAAGGGAAAATACAACATTTGCAAACATCAAAAAATAAAACTACCAAATCATTTTGAAATACCTTGCTGGACTGTTAGTGAATGACAGTGTAAAGCATCCTGTAAAATCATGGCACCTGGTATACTGTCATTTTCAAGAAAAGTGGTATTTTTGTATCAATTTCCAACGCTGGTCGGCCGACCAGCGTTGGAAAAAAACTGGCTTTTTTTCAAATACTTGCCCAAATTGACCATCGCACTTGTTTGCAATCGATTACACACCTATGAACGGGTACAAGCCAGCTAGACTGGTTCCCTGACCTTACAATTCCCCAATGTTTGTAAACTGCTCTGTTTCTTCTTATATGGAGTCAGGGAACCAGACTACAGGAAAATGATTGTTTTTCTTGGTTTTATAGCATTTTCGAACCCAAAACCTAAAAAAAGTCAGTGTAACTATATTTGCTATATATTTGCAACCCCCCAATTCCATCCATTTCTGAAAATTACAGCAAAAGCAAATGATGTATATTCCCTTTAACATGTTAATAACTGTTCATTCTGCATTTGCTGTGCAGTTTATCATGTTTATTGGTTTCACTGCACAGCATGGCAAGACAGCACTGCCGAACCAACTTACAAAAAATGATTGTCTTTTCTGGTTAACAAGCAGGATCATGTCTGCAAAAATCTTGGAATTTTTGTTGTATTTTGTTGTTTTTTAATGAAAAGATTTGGGTTCTACCTGATTTTCTAGGTTGGGTGGTGATGTAACCAAAACAGGTATTTTTTCTCTTGGCCTAAGTTAAGGAAAGTTTCAATAACATTAATTGTGCAAGTTTTTATGATAATGACTCGGCATATAGAAACACAGTGCCAAGATATGCATTGCCAAATATGCCAAACTTAAAAACTAAGTTCGCTTTGGTGTTGTTGGGATGTACCATGTCGGCGAGTTTTGGTTCGGTTCAGTGGTTCGGCTGCAGAACTATTTTTGACTTGACAACTTTATTACTCAAAAAAGTCGTGGCGACGTACACGTATGCAGTAAAGTTGTTGTGCTCAACACAAGACTAACAGGCTACAAACCTTTGGAAAAACTAACTTTGATGTGGTTAGAATTGTTGTTCAACTCACATAGGGGAACCATACAATAGGGGAATCATACAATAGGGGAATCATACAATAGATATTGGTAAAATTGGCTGCTGGCCAAAAATATAGGTCCCTTCCCCAACACACACACAATCGTGTTTTACTACCCTTTTTTTGGTGATCCAGAAAAGCCTGATTTCCTTGTGATTATTTCTGTCTGGCTTTTCCACATACATGTAGTTGCAGAAAAACCTGTGTTTTGTTCTGATTTTTGGCTTTTTTGCAACGTAACTGAAAAGCCTTAGTTTTGGGGGTTTTTTCCCCTCTTTTCTTCTTGTGTCTTCTATCCCAAATCCCACAGACTTTGTGCACGTGTTTTCTGACCGCCTCTTTGGTCATTATGAAACTTAACACAGACATAAAAGCATTGCAAAGTCATGTTTTGACAAGTGATGTCATGACGTCATCTTTAACGTGTCTTTTTCAAAGTCGTATCTGAAGAACTACATTCGATTGGGTTGAAACTTAGTCAGGGTTGTGTTCCAGATGAAAATTGAATGACATCATGACTTCATCACATGATGTTTTATTGATTTTTGAATTTTTTTTCATCTCATCAACATAACTCACGAACAAAACGTGTTGCATTCAAAATTCTTTTTGTAATAGGTTTGGTAGGTCATGGATATATGCCTATAATTGGGAAAAATGAGTAACGTCATCATGACGTCATCAAAAATACGATTTTTAAAACACATATAAGGGAATATCCTATTGTGTTGAACTTATCCTATTGTCACAAGTACATGCTTTCGTTGAAGCGACGTCATGATGACATCATCACTTGAATATTTAAAGATTTTTTTTTTTTTATTCTACTTGCCAAATTGACATTATCTGTAATAACACCGAGTCCAAACTTTGCAGAAACAAAGACCACTTAGTAAAGGTGTGCATAGACAAGTTACATCATGATGATGTCATGTGTCACGTGAGAACAATTTAAGTTTGCATATCTAGAAAACCACAAGACCTATTCGGAACCCTAACCCTGCTCAAGCCAACTGGATCCAACTATATCACATACCCACTGGGTCCTGTTGGATTGAGCAGTAAACCCCTTGCATATATTCCTGTTGAAGTCTGTTGGATTCAGCAGGCAACTGAAAGCATTCAGAGTTGGATTCTGTTGGGCGCTGGTAAATAATGCCAAGTTGGACTCTGTAAGGCTAGTCATTTTATATTTTCAGGAAGCCAATAACTTGGCCCATTATGTGGGACCGTGTGACAATGTGCGGGACTAGGCTGGATTGAGCAGGAAGCTCACATGAGTATAGACCATTATCATGTTGCAGCCATTTGATTTTTTCCAATTCAGATCAATGTAACCAAAGCGAGGCTGGAAGGAAAAACAGTCCTGTTCCTTTTTGCACAAAAACATTATCATTCAGTACTGTTATTGGATACAGGGAACATGACTGAAATGGTGGCAGCGTGATAAAGGTCTATTACCGTTGAATTTAGCAGGGTAATCCTGGGGAACTATTAGGGGTTTTTGGTATATATACATACAGTAGGCCTACAATGTATGATGAATATGTAATTTTTGTGTACGTGTAAAGTGTACATAAAACATGCATGATGTGTAGTGTACGTGACATCCCCCGGAGTCCTGTATATGGTTTTAGTGTTACATGCAATGTGGTGATCCACACATGAAAGTTTTCCAAGGGCACGAAATGATGCGAAGTGAAAAACAAAAATTGTAAACGGTTCGTTAAGTCGTAGATACATGTATTTGCACAAAAATGTGACAATCATGTGACATCATGATGACATCACCAAAATATGATTTTTGAAATCACATACATGTATAAGGGTAGGTTTGATAGACATGAAACTTGGTGGGTAGGTACATAATGGTACAATTATGCAATGTATATTGACATTTTTTTTAAATAATTTGTTTAACTTTTTAACATTTATTCTAATTACAAAAATTTGACATTGTCTTCTGTCAGATCACGGTTAACTCCAAACTTAGTCCAGACAAAGACCACATAGAAAATGCGTGCACCTTAAAAGGTGCATAAAGTCCTTAATCTACAAGTCCGATCGGGTTGAAACTTAGTATTCTAGGAAAGTGTCCTAGGTAAAAATGTGATCTCATGATGACATCATCATACAATTTTTATATGGATTTTTTTTAATTTGAAATATTTTTGACCTTTTTTTGAATTGTCCAATTGTTTGTGTATGGAACTGATCGGTGACATGAGTGAACAGAGATGCAAAAAAACAAACATAGAAAAATAAAAATGCAGAGAAGCCCTATGATCTGTTCAAACAGAAATAAACCTCTATTCTCTAATTCTTTCTTTCGTGTTTTTGTATGGCCACTTTTGACATAAAACAAAGTCATATTCCAATGAAACTTTACACGAAAAAAGACCCCACAGTAAAGTCAT